ATTCATTGGTCGTTCAATTGGTGTTCCGTTGATGATCAGTGACCTAGGGTTATATGTTAGGATTTTAAGTTCTAATTGTTTTATCATAAGGTCCAATTTTGCTTTTACAATTTCTACGTCTTTAGAAAGCATGCAAGTGCTTTACACCCTGATACAAGGATATTCCCTCCATACACTCTCGCTCTCTCGCACACTCAAACATTAACAACTCAGATACATATTTTATTAACTTTCAGAACCGTCGTAGACTGATCACGTTTGTGTTGGAATGTCGTATATTGATAAACGTATGCTACATATAATCTCTTGTTGTTCTTCTTCTAGTACATTATCACGAAAAAAACAATACTATAATGCCAGCTAAGCCGATTGAAACAGTAAAAGTTTTCCTTCATAATTTACCGTTTAGCATTGGTCTATCCAGGTCAATACACTCATATTTTCTGTATATATATGACCGTTTGCAGAGATACGTGTATCATAGGCTCGTACTCGTCGTAATGTGGTAAGTAGTTGCATGAGTACAAAAATCACTTCAGTTTTAAACTTTTTTTAATTTATGATTTCTTTCGTTGAATATTAATTGAAACAATTTCGTACACATAGTAGTCAGTAAGTCGTAATTGCATAAAAATGTACTTATCTCCATACGCAAGAAGTTAGCAGTCAACAGAAATTTAGTATCGCCTTGTAACGCGACAAGAAATATAAATTTTATATTGAATTTGATTTCATTGTTGACATTGATTTTTCAACTCCGGCATCTAACTGGGTGTGGATAATCGATTTTTGCTGTTACTATTTCACTTTCCGAGTTAGTCAGAGGTTTAGAAATGAGGGGAAATGCTAAGTTTATTCGGGACCTTAGAATGTTCAACTCTCGGAATTATAAAAATGTGAGATAACCCGGTTTACCCCCGCGTTTCAGGCTTTTTGTGTGATCCGCAGGTAGAATATCCCTGTCTTGCATCCACACATAAACATGAGTCTTATATAACCAGGCGTCCGATGATCTTGTCATTGATTTGTAATTTGTGCAACGGAAGCCCCCTCTTCTATGTTTTTACATATTTCTGTGGTGAAGTAAATCGTTAGATGGTAAATTTACAGCACACCCTGTCATTCCACTAAGTGTTTATCTGTTTAGAATGTCTTTTTAGTGGACATGTAAATCGTTCACTGAGACCCGATATCCTTTCATAGACTTGTGCATAAGTGGATACACCTGAAACTTTGCCACTCTCTCGAAGCAAGACTAAACACCAGTCTAAAAACAAAATAAGATAAAAAAAAAGAGGATTAAAAAAAAAGCAAACAAAAAACAAAAATAAACACTGAATTTAGGTTGAAGATGTCAGCATTTTCTATTTCGGTTCCAGTGAAGACAATATCAGTCTGTCTTATCGTTAAATCGTAACGCGAAACAGAAAAAGGTACATGATGACAAAACATGACCTAGCGTTTTAGTTAATCATAACAAAGATAGCACTTACTAACGCTACGAAATGAGAACTTAGGAAAACGCAAAAGTCAGAAAAGCATTAGCAATAATAAGCATAAAACAGCTTATAGTAACCATTACAATTGGTGTAATGGTAGACTGTAATATTTGACATTTATTTCATTACTCTGCCGCATGAAAACATTATCGAATGATTATAACAACATTGTTCTCATTTGCAAACGTGTCAATACTTACTTGGATTGACCTAGGTTTGCCTGGCGTGTGTCGTAGATGGAGCAGAAGACGCTTACCCTTCCAGAACACCTGGTCTTATTCTCCATGTACTTTTTCAGGAGTCTCCGTTTAAAGTCTTCGTTTGTTCATAATTTCCCTAGTTTTATGGAATTAGAGCTTGAATTAGGAAAATGTCGCCATGTTGGTATTTGTTGGTGTTTTTTTCTTTAAAAATGTAAACATATTTCAGATATGTACAATTATTTACCGCATAAATACGTGATAATTAATGTTGATATGTAAGGAAATGGACCTGAACTCGCAACACATGACAATTACACACACCTGTGTCTATTTCTGGCTATACGCATTTACCTATGCTTTGATCTAATGAATATTTACATTTACAGGACAATACGGTGCATTTACTTCATAGACCTGGAACGAAATTTACTAAATTGGATCATTGTTCGGAAGTCAAAAGATGTGTTCTTTTTTCAATTCAGATGAAAATGACTATTGTACAGTCGGTCTTTAAGAGATGATAATTCCATCTCCCAATTGCATATAACACACGTTGTTTATGTTTAGGGGAGATCTGGCTGTGTTCCATCATAGGAACGTATCGCTACTACATCTGGGATAGGATATATAGCAGTGTTAAACATCAAGCGCGATGTTGCAATTGAAAACACGTCTGTAGTGAATCAATGTTGGTCCCCTACCCTGTGTCGTGTGCAGCTGTATATTTGGTTTCTCTTTAAATGTTCATGCCAGGAAACACGAATCAGAAAAAAACATATTATTGAGCTTTGTTTGATCCTTGATATTTATGTTTTGATAAATGCGTTTTCATGACTGTAAAGCGTTGCTTGTTTTCCTTTCTGTTGTCTCTAGTTGCTATCACCTCAGTCACTGACTCTTGTTACGTCACCCTGTTATCATTGCTAACCGGTTCTACCAGAGGCCACTCTGTAGCAGACGTATATATATATATATAATTCTGGGCTTTCTATTTATTTTGGAATTACAGGTGCTTTAGGGTTTCTTTTTCGCACGGACGCATTAATCTCGTATCACTGAAGTCTACGGACTGTTGATCTAATCATCTATCATTACATGGCTATCATTATTGGTATACGTTTTGTCGGGGATAACTATTCTTAAACGAAGGAAGGGTAGAATACTGAACATCCAATGAATATTGAAATTATATCAAAAAGAATAAAAATCCACTTAACATTCTGAATTTGTAATGATGATTATCGGTATACCGATTCTAAGTGCCAGTAGGTGAGCATTCAACAAGGGAGACGATAATATTGTTTGTAACGTTGATATGATATTAGATATTTATCATTACATTTTGTCTCATATGACCGAGACGCGCTGATTGCCAATTTGATTTATTACTTTTCCCCTTGGCAATCTTTTACAATTGTATTCGTGAATATTCGTTCTCAATTCTTTTTTGTTATGTTTATCAAATATTTTAATCTCTTGTTTGGTTCTTCATAAGTTCTAAAGGCGTTTTGGTCTATACTGTATCTCATATCCAGTAAATGCTAATATTACAGAAGCACGCTATAGACCAGACATTTGCATTCCAAAGGGACATATTTTATCGGGATTACATACAAGACCAGACTATGTCGTGAAAAGTTGTCGGGTTCCATTTGATATGTTCACTGCACTTGAGTACAGTAAATGCTGTTCTAAGTGCATCTCTCGGCTTGAGATAAGAGGATAGTATTCAACATGAAGTATATTTATTAGTCTGTACAATTATATACCATAAAGTTCGACTTTGATCGATGTTACACCTATGTGACATGCTTATGAGAATAGAATTATTTGTACCGATTGACCCTCTTATATACCACACTATAACACGGTATCTCTGTTATGTTTCACCAGAGGTACAGAGTACTGGTCTTGTCTTTATTACACAATATTTGAAGTGTTGATCTTCCGATTTTTTATCGGGCCGTCTGGTCCCTCAATGAATAGTAATGTCTTGATGCCTGCAATTTCTTATACAGAAGATATGTAACACGAGGTCAATTGAAGGTTTGGTATATGTTTTAATACGTTCTACATTTTATCGGAGAATTTGTGTTGCAGCGTAAATCTGAGCTAGTCTTGATGCAGGTTGGTGAAAATTATGGAGATAATTTAGAAACATTCTATTTGTTTGTACGATTTGAAGTTGGACGTGTTTTGGTGCTCGTTAGTTTGCCTGTTGGTTCCGTTGTTGTATAACTTGTTCTTAGTTGAGAACATGACATTACTGACCAAGGTTTACATAGCGGGTTTCGTCGATGAAGCAGAAGATGCTTTCTATTCCTAAACAACTGGTCTTACTCTCCTTGTCCTTTAAAGTATTGTATTGTTAATATGTTGCCCTAGTTTTATGAAATTTGATTTGGATTATGATTATGTTGACATAATGTTATTTTCCTGTTATCTTAAGTTGACTTTGGGTGAATTAAACATGTACATGATATATATGCCAATCTGTATTCAAACAATGAATTCAAATAGTTTCACGCCTTTATACTAACGATGAAAAGATAAATGTGCACAAGGAATTTGATGATGTTTCGTGTCAAGATTTCCTCTAGAAGCAACCATGTTGGTTAAAGGTATAGCGCCGATCATATCTGATTAATATGATTTTCAGCCAAAGAAGCATTAAGATAACGCATAGAAAGGAAGATGTAAGATATATTTCTGAAACCAAATAAGATATTGTACTTTTTCAAGGCATAATGAGTTGCAACCATTCTTGCAGTCTATAATTGTATATAGACATGTCTAATCGATCATACTTTCCTCCGGACATCTTTGCAATAATCATATTTGAAAAAGATTGGTGGATTCAAACATTTCATGAGCTGAATTTCGGACGCTGAAACTGTCAGCCTAAATTGATTATATCGTAAAGAAGAGCAAATTTCATTTTAAGTGACGTAGAAATATATGTTCCACTTCAGCGAAACAAATACACAAACTAGAAACACGATGACCTTAAAACGATGAACAGTGTATCATTATTACGCTACTGTTAGATCGTAGTTTTAAAGTACACAAACTCAACGAATATGATAAGTAATTTACTGACTTAAAACGGGAGTTGTAAATTTCATTGTTATAAAAGAACACAAAAACAAATTGTTACATGAATTGTAGATCACGACAACTCATTGTATTGCTGCATCTGCCATTTTTGTGGTGTGTTTTGAGAAGGACCTAACTATTTCATTTCTGATAGAGGCTGTCATGTTCAAGTTCTAAAAAGGAACTTTTTCTTCTATTTCAGTATGTCGGGAGGTAAAGACAGGGATAGCGGCTATGTTTGGACCCGTGTCCACAATATCCGCTGGACACGTCCAGTCCATCTGTAATTCTCTGTCCATTCCCCATATCCAGGCCCACTGGGACTCCCGCGACAACCGAGAGTACTATTCCATTAGCCTGTACCCTGACTACCTGACCCTAAGTAAGGCGTACAAGGCTCTCATTGAATATTGGGGATGGACGTCATTCACGGTGCTATATGAGGATAATGATGGTAAAACCCTAATTTTTTTAGTTCGTTTAAAGTGTTGTGTATGAATAACACATTATTTGTCATTAATTAATTCATGATGAAACTATTCTTTGCTCACTCGAACTTACTGCCTAAAATTATCAGTAAAATTTTCACGATTTGCATCACAACCACTAAATGATATTTTGACGAATTACAATTTTGCGATCTGGATCTAAGATGACATCGAATACACACGATGATGTACCGCGAAATAGTGAAAACATTGTCTCAGCGAAAATAACTGGCTATACGTTATGCGTGTGAAAGCAAGTGACTTCATCATATATGATTTCGATTAAACCCTTTTCAAATTCTTTATTTTTAAATTGATGATTTTCGTTTTGTTTGTGTTGCAATGGTGCTCATTGAAATTACATATTTTGCATATCGATATATTATTACTATATACTGTTACATTTATTTTTTGTCATCATAATCATACAGTATTTCATATCATAAACGTTACTAAATACCATATGACGTATCAAAATACTTTTTTTCTATTTCAGGATTAGTTAGATTACAGGAAGTGCTAAAGGCCACAAAGGGTACAGATATGAAGGTCACCGTCCGTAAACTCGACCCTATTGTTGAAAACTATGTCTATATGTTCAAAGAACTAATCTCTAATCCAATGCAAGGCGATAACAGGATCATTGTCGACTGTGATGTATCCAAAGTTGACAAAATTCTAGAACAGGTATAGTCTTACCTTAGAAATTGTAATCATTTTGACATATTACATTCATTGGTTATGAGTAAGAAATTCATACACACGTGAGAGTACAATGCTTTATTTTTCGATGATGCCTTTTGAAAAATTCCGAAATTAAATTCCATTCTTGTTTAACTTGTAATCTAACTGCATATGTGTATTTAATAATGGCGTTGTACTGGTTTCTTTTTAACGCAATAAGAACTCTCAACTTTTTCTGTTTCAGGCTCAAAAGGTCAACATGTGCTCTGAAACATTTCACTACCTCTTTACAAGTTTGGTGAGTGCATTCGAAAGGAACAATATAGCAAGCGTTAGCTAAATGTGTTCAAAGTATATCACATTAAAGTATGGTGCCGTCCAGTAATATGTTTAACAGAAATGAAATAGAAACGGAAATCAAAGGGAAATCCGGGATTCATTTATACATCATCAATACTATGTAAAGCAAAGACCAACATATCTACCCAGAAGCATTGAAATCATAGACCTCCGTCATCAGGAAGATGGTTATAATTTGCTAACGTTTATTGAATGAAGTGTAACAAATGTTCAATGATTGAACGGAAGTTCATATGTTTATCTGTTAATCTGAATAACAAACTGCTATCTTGGCTCTGTACCCAACACTCTACATCACCATGGTATTGAATTGCATAAGCAACTAAGAACTACGTTTAAATGTATATCTTATCTTATATATTGAATTTGCAGGCTGTTGTTACGCCCATTGATAAAAACAATATTCACATTATGATTATTTCTCTTTTGTTGTTTCTCAAAAATGAATAAATATTTTATGTGTGATACAGGATGTGGGTCTTGTTGATCTGGAGGACTATAAATATGGCGGCGCCAATATATCAGCTATGCGTATAGTAGATCCTTCTCGGCCAAAAGTTATGTCCGTTACTGAGGACTGGATATTTGAAGAGATAAACTCACGACCCTCTCCTCTCCAAGGCCAACGCCAGATTCCGGTATGTTATTCAAGGAATGGTGGCTTAAACACGCTGTCAATTGTATTAGATAATTGTCTTGAAAGGTTTACAAAGGGGTTGGTGTTAAGAGATATTGCATGCTTTTCTTATATCATAGATTTACAAGCATGCATCTATATTAATGATGCGATTTTTCAGATCTTTGCACATGTACAGTCATAAGCGGATAAATGCATAAGTACAATTCTGTACATATTTATTTGGTGGGAGTTTGGATGGTACTTGCAATAACTTAAGAATTGAATTGTTTTCCGATGGCATTTATTTTGCCCATCAATGCCAATTCAAAACATTTCAATGCTTATATTTATCACTGTAAATGCTTTTCATTTGTTATAAAGGGAGGCAACTTCAACTTTCAATATTCTTATTGCGTTGGGAGTTTATGATTTGGTGCTGTGCTACTGTCCTGGGTAAGGTTACACAGTAGCATCGCCATACAAGAATTAGTATAAAATATGTTTGAACATTCTAGCTTCTTCATCGTCGTAAACACCACCTTTATAATCCATTTTCTGTCCATGGCTCTATCCCATATAAGTCTTTGTAGACAGTTAGTGTGTACACGTATGTTGCGGAATATACGCTCTCTCCAGTTACAAAATAAACGCGGATAACTGTATTATGAAATGCCTAAGTCATCAAACACATACTCAGACGTGTATAAATGTTATGCATATTGTGTACATTGCTTCGACAAGTACCTCAATACGCTGATATTTTTCAAAAACACCTGTACTCGTTTCACCGAGATAGCAGAAAAGTATGTTTACTTTTTTTTCTCATTTCATTTACTTTTTTATTTGTATAACAGATAATGCCTTTTAAAGGCACTGTTTATGTATTATTGCTGATGTTGATTTTGATGCTGTTACCTTCGTTAGAAATTTGTTTTACATTATGTTAATACAGAATTATCACGAAAGGTCATACAAAAATCCACTCCCTAGTGCTGAAATTATAGTTGTGAACTTCGAAAGCCCTTAGATATTTCTATTTAAACATGTTTTTAACAAGATGCGATTACAGCTAACCTCTTACTAAATCACCATGTGCTTGCAAATAGTCGAAAGTACATGAACATAAACATTGCTTTGTTTGAATAATGAAACTATATTGAAACCTGTTTGAAAAAAAATGATTTCGCAAGATGTTTTGAGCTGTATCATTGAATTACTCTGATTAACATATGACTATGCACGTGCATTTCTGCTGTATCTAAGTTACAAGTACACTGTCATACTGTCTTTGAATTTCTATTTATGCTTGCCTTTGGAATGCAGAGAAGTTTCTTAAGCCTCGAAAATCGTACTAACGTAATGATGGTAGGTTGGTCGTGCCAGACAACCCACGGGAGGCGACCTTAATCTATATAATTGGACCCTTCTCCTTTCACTGCATACTATTGTGTTGTATAGTGTGACTTGTTAGTCCATCGCTCTCTTCATGTTTTGTCCTTCTTCAACCGATATAGTCATCTACATTTTAAGATCGAACACGTTTATATTAACTTTTTATCATCTTCAGTTGTGTTTGTTGTTAGGTTTCAAAACGATAATTTAGGAAATGCACGCACGCGCATGCGCACAAATCACAAAGCCAGTAATGAAAGTATACAATATTGAAGGTAACCAATGCCAGTTATAAACTGATGCTGGATATTACACAAGATACAGCACTGATTAATTGTTCTGCTAGAGGATATTATGATTCCGTTCCAGTCAATGCATGCTTATTATGGAAATAATGGGAGTGAATGATGATCCTGATACATCGAATGGCATATTCGTTTTTAATATGTCGGCAGATTAATTTGATGCTATTCACTTCTTTGTTATTTTTGATATCGTTTTGATTATTTTTCCCATTGCTTGTTTCCTCTGTTTCTTCATTTGCAGTTCTAATTTACCTCCGTCAACTTAATATACTGAATCATTTTTACAAAGATTGCCACATGTATATTATTGTATATGAGATAACTGTTACGGATAGTAATTGACATTGATACGATGTTTACATGTTTCTCTGTGATATCTTTATATCCATCCACGTGTCATTCTTTCAGTAAACATGACCCTGTTATTTATTTGCATATGAAGACATGTCCTATTACGACGTCAAGATCATGAAATGACGTCTCATACTCGCAGAATAGAAACATCACAACTCTATTTAGAGATATAGGCCGGAGAAGAATTCAAGGCTGACAGAGAAAAAATATTGTTTTTTTTTTATTCTGTACCAAAAGATGTGTCAAAAGTATCATACTCGAATGTGTTTGTCAAAACGAACTCCTTTTGTTCACTCAAATGGGAAAAAACATCTTTCTCTTTTGAGGAATATCTGGTTAATTCAAATTAAGATCCTATATGTTTCCACCCTTAGGATATATCTCTCTTTGTGATATATCTATGCCGTCTAATTAAATTAGTTTTAACGGAGCCTGTTGAAACTGTTAAGTTCTTTAGAAACTTGCAAAACATGCATTGATATTTACATAAATTCATAACCAAGTTAAGCTGTGTGGTCGTTTATTATAGTATCTTCCCGTAACTGCTATTGCATACGCAAACACGATTACTACGTGTTTGCCTTTCTGGTATCTATTACGTTTCCCTGAATTCGACGTATTTTCTAAGAATGATTGTAATTTACTTGTATGTAACTTTTAATTGATATATGCTGCTTATCTAAGTAGTTCATGTGAACACTGTATACTGTTTATTTTTGTACAGGTAAAACATTAATCATTTCTGTGTTTGATTTTACAAATGATTATATTGATTTGTCTTGTTGAGTAATTATAGATAATTCTATGCTATTTTTTTCACGACAAATACAATAACGGCTATATCTTTTAACAGACTGATACAGCCCTCATGTACGATGCCGCCCACCTTTTCGCCCGTGCCCTGCACGAGCTCATCAAATTCCAGAGTGTTAAGACCGTGTCTCTGTCCTGTAGCAAACCCCAACCTTGGAACGACGGCATCAGTCTCCTCAACTACATGAGAGCGGTATATCATTTATATATTTACACAAATGAATAGTTATGTATATCAGATCGCTGATCATTTAAGAATTCTGATAAATGTACTTGTCTTATCTTTGTTCTTATGTTATCGTTTATTCCAAGTACTCCCATGCGCAATGACTTTTGTTTTATCTGATGAGAAATGTTAATTAAGCATCTACCTACGCAATAAATCGAGCTTGCATTTTGTATCAGTACGATATAAAAAAGAAGGCGAAGGTGACAATATAAATACAACGACACATTTATGAAACCTATTGAATGTTTTATTAAAGTAAACATATATACAGGCAACATCACGTCTATATGGACAAGTCTTCATTTACTTCAACTATTGCATGATAATCGGACACAAAATGCATTCTGTATATTGGTGATATACGATGAATGTTGAAGAATTTCCGGTTTTCATTCATTTGTTTTATGATATATCGGATAGATGGACTTCGAAGGGCTAACAGGTCGTGTCCACTACCAGAACGGCAGGAAGCGCACCGATTTTCAATTGGATATTGTGGAATTGACAATGAATGGTTTACAGAAGGTAAATAAAGATGTTTTAAAATTTTCATTCCATTACAAATTAATCGCGATTAGTATGTTGTTATAACGGTTGAAAAAACCTAACAATGCAGCATTCAACTAGTTTATTAACAAGACAGCATTGTCATACTAGTACGCCAAATGTTCTTTGTTGAAACTTTACTGTGGTAATTGTGGATGTTAAGATGAGAATTTACAGGAATCATGTGTGTCAAGTACATCAATGCATAACAATTAGGAAAGAAAGGAACTGACATTATTTAGATTATTGAAATGCTGGTATAAATTAGGGCATATTTATTTCTTGCAATTAAGGAGTTTAAGTGAGCTAAACTGCACAGCATAAAGTTTGATGTTTTTATAGAGAATGTTGTATTGTAATGTTTAAGGTGGGTGAATGGAACCCACGAGACGGAGTGAATATAACCAAATCCTATAAGGAGAGACAAAACGAGGTGCTACAGGAAATGTCAAACAAGACACTGCGTGTTGTTACTGTCGTTGTAAGTAGTTCTGTAATCATGACTGTTATATCTTCCTTCAATCCAACTTAAAATCATGAAACGATGTGCGTATCCCTGCACAATTGCGAACTGCATTACTTGAAATGTACATAACACCTGCACAAGTGTGGTTTATACCCACGGGCTGATGTTGCCATGGACAGTATGCTCAAGTTGCTTATTTGATGTAGAAGTTATTTTGTGTTTTTGACAGATGCGATGAACACAAAACTTTTCTTGCACTGTCAATATTTGTCATTTAAAGGAAGCATATATACCAGTTTTCTTCTACATATACTACCATTTTCTGTATTATTTTAATAGATGATATATTTTAAGGCGATATACATTGCATCAACTAGGGTCACTATGACCTTAGTCTCAATGTTAATGTCAAATACACATATAATTCAATATGGAAAATAACTTTTTAACAGCAAAACAATTAATGAAAAATTAGAAATCAACCTTAATCACTTTATACTGAATTATATGGCTTGTGCTCCTCGCCATATACATCTTTCAATCACTTTAGATTTTCCTTCTTTCTCAGTTGCCTCATAGACTTCACACTTATGATATAAGTTGTTATTTATTTGTACAGTCTCAGGCGGTGTGCACTGCACTGACATTACATTCAAATTTCAAATGTTTGCATACGTAAATGTTAGGAACTAATTTTATGCGGCTGAGGTGATCGAAACAACGCGACAGTTCATATTTTACTATATATCATTGTGACATTTGAACGCGAAGCCGGTCATTAAATACAAAAGCCAAAGCCGGACTTCATGGTACAGGTGAAGTTTTTTGTTCGTTAATTCAAATATAGTTTGCTGTGATAACATGAAACAAAATAAAGATGTAAACGGATACTGGTCAGAAACGATTACCAAAATCAAGTTGTTTAAATTCCTAGGTGGTAACTAATTTTTATTGAACAATAATTATGTTAATGGTAAGTAAATTAGAAGAAGAAAAATCTAGTTATATTTTCTATCATTAAAATTTATATGCGTGTTTTATCAGAATATCCTACATGTTTCATGTCAATTTTATTTTTTATTTTATTGTCGTAATTTTGTAATAAATTAGCTTATCAGTTTTTCCATCCACCATTTATTATTTATAAAGGACACGCCATACGTACTCGAGATTCCCCCCGATGATAGGCCATATCCCTCCAAGAAATACGAAGGCTTCTGTATTGATTTACTGGACAAAATTGCAGAGAGGTTGAATTTTAGCTACACCATTGAACCGACACAACAGTACGGCAACTGTAAGACGGGGTTCAAGGATTGCACTGGCATGGTCAAAGAATTGGTCGAACGGGTAAATCATCACCAGCAGTTCTGCATACAATCACGTTATACTGAATCACATTACAACTTGTGTCCTTGTTTTAGTTTACCTGAACCGGTTTCAGTATGTCGACTCAATGATAATAGATTCAATATATTACGTTAAGGACTTCCTACAAGTAATACACATTTCTATTTTAACTTAAAATTTGCATGCTGATATTGTCTATATTGATCGTGTTTTCCTTACAATAAGTTATTGTGTCAATATAAATTCCAGAGGGCTGAATTGGCTGTAGCGGGAATGACCATTACTTGGGACAGAGAACAGGTCATAGACTTCACCAAACCTTTTCTAAATCTGGGTATTACCATTCTCTATAAGAAACCAGAACCGGAGCCGCCAAAGCTATTCTCCTTCCTAGATCCACTTTCCATAGACGTTTGGGTGTACATGTGTGCCGGCTACTTGTGCGTGAGCTTCATGCTGTTTGTGATTGCTCGGTTCACTCCATACGAGTGGTGCAATCCTCATCCTTGTAACCCAGACACAGATGTGGTAGAAAACCAGTTCTCCATCCTCAATAGTCTTTGGTTCACCATTGGATCCCTTATGCAGCAAGGTAAATCTAATGGCTATGTGTTATTTATCTCATTGTTCACTCGACTTTACATATGATAATACATGGAATAAGGAATAGCGTGCTTCATGACCTGCAACAATTCCTTGAAGCAAACTTGCAAAATTCAGAAGGATCACGAATATTTTGTCAAATGTCTGAAATTTTATATATTGGATTATCCGTCTGTTAAAGATTATTTTTATATTCATATTGCAAATTTATTATGAACTACAAAAGTAGGTAAATTGTAGTATATTAGGCTGTTAATCCATTACAAAGATTTCTTGCTGAAACAACATTTACTTTCTTAGGTTGTGAAATCGCGCCCTGTGCGATATCCACTCGACTTGTAGCAGGTATTTGGTGGTTCTTCACGTTGATCATGATATCCTCATATACCGCTAACTTGGCTGCTTTCCTCACTGTCGAACGAATGGTATCCGATATCAGTAGCGTCGAGGATCTTGCGAAACAGACAAAGATCAAATACGGAACCCTGGATGATGGCAGCACGAAGAACTTTTTCGCAGTATGTGATCCATTTATTCCTATTGCAAAGTACATTGATAAAACATGCAGGCATGAGTGATTTCGTGTTACTATGAACATCGCGTTCGAACTGTATTCCGGGGAAATAATATATATCGTTTCCTATTTTCAGAACTCAAAATTCCCAATCTATCAGAGAATGTGGAACTTTATGCAATCAACAGAACCGAGTGTTTATGTCAACGAATCTGAGCAAGGAATAGCACGCGTGAAGAAAGGACAATATGCTTTCTTTGCCGAATCTACTAAAGTCGAGTATGAAATTGAAAGGGAGTGCTCATTGATGCAGGTTGGAGGTTGGCTGGACTCTAAAGGATACGGCATCGCTTTACCAAGAGGTAAAGGCACCTTACAAATCGCAAAAGTTAAAAAGTACCCTTACTAGTAATATACTGCTTCCCTTCGTACACGATAACACCTTTCGATGATAACACTTTATATACCCAATAAACTGCCGTAGCATTACAGGAATATTTTTTTATGATGCTGTTGACGTAAATTGTGGAACTGTAAAAGACAAGTTAAAAATTTTGAAACTGACTGAGATGTGGAGAGAGAGAAGTGTACTAACCGCATTGTCATCGAATTATCGTAAATTGTCAATATAGGATTTTTTTAAGAAATAATGTATATGTATATTCTAATGCAAATATGAGTAACCTCGTTTTTGATGTGATGATTTGCATTTATTGTTTTAGAGTTACATATCAGCATTTTTTAACAGTAGATATATACATAAACACATATATACTTGAGACGATCCACATTTATCTATAATCAATATTGAAATTAATGAAAATCTCATTATTTATCTTGTGTCCATAGGTTTATTTGTGTTATAATTGCTTTCCTATGTTCTCGATCTACATCTACATTAATTTTCCCTATAGATTCATCCTAAAGAGATCCTTTTTCAAACTCGATCTACATTCATTTTCCCTCGTAGATTCACCGTACAGAGATCCTATTTCTAATGCGATTCTAAAACTACAAGAGGAACAGGAAATACACAAAATTTACAATACGTGGTGGAAAGAGAAGTACGGTGGTGGGAAGTGTCTAACTGTGGAGGCCAAGAAAACAAGTGCTCTTGGTGTGAAGCACGTGGGTGGTGTGTTCGTCGTTCTTATTGGTGGAATGGCAGCAGGTGTTTTTGTGGCAATATGTGAATTCATTTACAAAGCAAGGAAAAATGCACGGGAAGACAAGGTAATAATTCATTTATATAACCTAAACTCGTCGCAATATTTATCTAATTCTGGTTCTCTCTTAACTGAAATCAAGGCTGGTTCTTGGACTTCATTTCGAATCCCTCCAAATATTCACTACATTATGCTATTAGTAATGAAACGAATAATCTTAAAATACTTAGATGAATTAATATTTTCCCAAATAAACATAATACAATTACTATTGTCTAACATATTCTCAATATTTCATCTTGTATAAAGTATTATTCAATTAACTACTGTTTTTATAAATCATTGTCTACTTGACTAATATGCACGTTTATGTATTTCCTTTTGAGTATCGTATCTCTTCCGAAATCTTCAATTTGTATGGCAACATACATAGTCGTTGTTTTGTCCTTGTTGAGCACGTACTGTGTTAGAATGCTCGGTGATGTCGTAGAATTTCCCTTTTTCCACATCCTTCTTTTTTTCATGTGTCAATTTCTCATAGTGTTAGTTTCGTACTTTTGTACCACCTCGTTTGGCATATGCTTCAATAACGTTTCGTGCATGTTTTTCCAGCGGAACAACAGACTAGCAGTAAGTAGCCCGGTGTTGGATGTAGATGATACTAGCAAAACACATTGTATAACATGCCTTACATTTCAAAGCCAAGGATACTGTTAGAATTTAAACGCACAATAATAACACTTAACTGGAAAAAATACGTTGGTACAGCCTGTTTTGCATTATCTAAATAACAAAAATGAAATTATCTGATGATCACAGAAAAATTGATTACTGTGGAAATCATTGTGAGAGACGAGGTGTCTATCTTATGTACCGGTAAAGAGTTTGAAATGGAACCCAAGCAAGGTCATCGTTAGCATTAATTTTCATTCTTTTAAAATATTTCTAAAATATAGCTATGCCTTAAAAGAATATGTGTAATAATGCAAATTTGTAGTGATTTGCTCGCTGATCAATATAAATCTTTCAAATGTATTCATTCTAGTAACCTCCTCAGGTAATTGATGTACGGTCATTGTCTGATGTTTGGAGACATTACTTTATCAGGAGGAAAGACTTTTTTTGTTATCCTTGTCTTCTTTTATTATCATATTTTAATATTATCAAAAACAATAGAAAGTTAAATCAAATCGGAGATAACCATGGAACTGAAAGTGATAAGTATATATCTAATTCCAGCAAGATTTCCAAGTCTTTCAATATAGTTGTCATGGGTTATCATATTGATAGACACCTTAAGTTTCTGTTCTCTAAGGAAACATTCGGCATATTTAAATTGGATTTATTCTTTTCCTCATTTATTGAATTAAAAGTTATCCTTGGCATTGAAATGCGTAAACATTGTTTATAATTGCAAGGCTGTATATATCCAGAAGATTTAATATTGGATATGGTTACTATATATGGTACAGACATTGAACCCTACTATCGACTTTCAGATACAAACAAAAAGAATTTTAAGTGTTTTTTTTTCTGTTGCTTATCTTATTTGTAGATCAAGTCGCTTTCAGGTATCGTGGAGTTAGGATGATTCAACTGATCTTTACATAGTCTATTTCTTTTACATTCTTGCCCTGGTACTTTATTATATCTAAATGCGGTCAATCCTCATTCCTGGTAAGACAAGGTATCCGTGTGGTAGATATTAGATAATCTATTCTGATAGTTTGTACTGTTACCGCGTTAGCCTTTTGCCGGGTTTTAAAAAGATTCGAATTTACTATATGCTTCTTAATTGCGCACTATCTTACATACTCTTCTGTTCTCGGCTTTTTTATTCACTGGATGCCGAGCAAGCAACATTGTATTTGGATGCGTTTAAAAGCTTTCAGAATCCTCTATTCAAAGAATAACAAAGCTTTAAACTCGCATCAATAAATATAGGTCACCTGACTGTTATTGTAAAATGTGTGTATGGTCACGTGTTACTTATTTACTTGTACAACGTTGCATTTCATATGTTTGCTGTCTTTGTTGTCATGGAAAGCGGTGCTAATGTTTTGAACAAATTGCTGTTTTTGTAACGGATGTCAGCAAACATTCTTTTTGAGCAAAATTTAATTTTGGCTTTAACACTTGAAATCCGATAAAATCAAATGTTGGGTAATTTCCTTTGTCAGTCGGTATTTGTTAGTTATTAGTTACAAAATGTAAATATATCGCGAATAAGCTCTGTTTGTTAGTATTCCATAATCCAGTGCGGGTATAGCACGCGCAAGTACTGTAAAGACATGTTAATAAAGGTGCACAGCTTTGACGCTGTACAGGTATATTTCAACAAGTTCTGCCCATACAATGTTGTCTGTGAATATAGTCAATCTATGCCTTCTGAGACATGGACACGAATCTTAAAATATATTTCTGTTAGCAGCAACGGAAAGATAAGTTATTTATATCAATAACTGACGTAACGAAAAAAATAATTAGGCAAATACACGTACTTAATTTCACCATATTATCTATATAACAATTGTTATACTCGGTGTTTAGATATAAGTATGGTGTTTTTTAACAATGCAACTCGGGCACAGCTTCGTTTGCTCTGACCTTACGAATAATCAGTTTCAATGCATATGTTGATATATATATCTATGTGTACATTCAAAATGTATTCACTGAAAATCACTGATATGTATTGTATATTTCGATTCATCTGAATAACATTTATATCATAAGTCTAGAGTATTTTTTATAATTTGTTGTTCTGTGAATTGTTGCAGGTATATTGGTTCTGCCTATAACATCAGAATAATGTTTTAATAACTGATGCTTGAAGTTTAAAAACAATGGAATAATGAAAATGGGTTAACAAAAAACATGATGATAATGCAAAAACACATTATACTAATTTTTAATTGAAGATTAATAAGACATTCTATTTAAGATTGTATATTTGACTAGCCGTATATAAATCGACAAAGGAATAACTTTGGTTTTTTATCATTTGATAACAGTGAAACACGTGGCTGATGATGTATATATACATGTATATATATTTGTGTGTGCAATCTTCGTTGTTTCCACATTTAACTATACTAACTTGTTTTAGACTATTAATATGCTAATAAATCTAATATCGGTTATGGGTCGCGCCTTTGATATCAGATTTTAATAATTAATGTTTTTTATTTTCCAGCAATCTCTTTGTTCTGAAATGGCAGAGGAATTTAGATTTGCTATACGATGCTTGGGGTCTTCCAAGAAGGCAGTCAAACGGAAACCAGATCATGAAATTGTCGACAATGGTCTCCAATTCATGCCCTTGACAGGCGGAAATAATTATGGCCAAAATAATATAGGAGGTCGAGAGGTATATGCCTAGGGTATCACGATCAAACTGGTCGAAAAACACACAAAAAAAACTTACTATGCATCTAAAAGCAACAACAAGGGCAATGAGTTATATGTTTAAACTTATTTAAAATATATTTCGCGTATTAGCTTATCAATGCAATCCTTTTTGAATAAGTGATGAAAGAAAAGCTAAACTTTTCAATTGTTTCATATTCAATAAGTTATCAACATGCAAAAAAGTCCGTGACCTTGAACTTTTAGATGCATAGTAGTAGCATGTTTCTTTCAATTTCTGTCCTAGATTGAGACACCTATATTCTGAGGAGTTGGTTCCGCTCATCAAACGGAATGATTCTTTGTGTGTAGGAGTAGTCCACGGTGTTATGCATGCAGGACTACACGTTCAATTGTATGAGAGAACTAACCGTCCAGACACGATCTGGTGTAGGAATAATCCCACACAATTTACACAACACACAGATGATGTCGTCACCACGCTCTGTGGTAACTAGTTTGCCGGCCGGTCGAAGAGACAAAAATGCATTTCTCACAATGGGAAATATTTATTTTATTCACTTTTCTGAAGATTCTAGTGAAAGTAATATATGCCACGTGACATTGTAAATAAGTTACGGTTTCAACTTGAGACCGTACTAACATAACAATGAATAGAGATATACCGAAACAAGCTGCTTAAACTTTAATAGTTAAGCAACCTTCGGCATAGTGTGTGCATAGACGATGAATGTTTCATGTTTGGAGTATTAAGCTCGTCCGATAGGCATGTATGTGGCTGTAATATCAAAATAATGTAATAAGGCATGCACGTTATTTGTTACAAATCAACAAAAATGGCAGGGGACTGGCGTTCTTAATTCTGTCAGTATCATAGACTGTGTATATAACCTACGTAACTCAAAATATGTTAAACTATGATAATGTTGGTTTAAAAGATTAAAATGCAATAAATGATAAAGATGATACATATGCCACGTGCCTTATGATATAATGTTAAATAAATGTATATAGAGCTATTTGAGGGTACACAGCCATATACTGGATCTTTACTGCTGCCAACAGATTGGTGTAACAGTTGGTGAATTTCAACACCCGTTTTAAGGTTGAATATTTAGTGTTTGTGAAATAGACAATCATTGCGTATAATAGACTTTGTAGATCTGTTGATTTGTAATCCTATGTCAAAATCAATGATAATGATAAATGATAAATGCTTTCTTAGTTCAAAGTCTTACCCTGTTTTAGCATTTAGTTTGCTTCATTTACAATTTTCGATGTATAATTGTATACTGATACTATTGTCAAACACGCATTCGTAACAAATTTTGATGGCATAAACATCAAAGATAATTCCATTCTTTTAGTATATTCAAATATCTAATTTTTTAGAAGTAAAAGTTTATTGTAAATTTAACTGAATAAGAAATGTGAGGTCAGTTTACTAGATTTTTGTATGGTTAAAATGCACAATTTAAGTTATTGTTTTAAAAAACTCATTATGTACCTTATTTCCATGATTAGACTTCAGTTGAATTTCAAAAAATGACTGATCTTCTTTGGTGTCATTGCCTAGTTATATTATCAATAACAACGATTACTAAACAAAGTAGTTTGAGAGGTTTGGTGTAGAGCAGTGCTATCCTACTGAAGTAACACCCTATGCAAAACATTCAATGGTACAAGCCTAATAGTAGGTTATTACTCATTTGTAACGTTATTGAACATCGTATGTTACTTTCCTTATTCCTGTTGTCTTTTTGAACGCTCTTTCCGTCAACCGTGTTCACTGTCATTACTAAACTATACTTAAACTATCAACTTCGATTGGTTATAGAAGGATGCATTTCTGCCTCCCCTCTGTATTCGCTGTTTGTCAATGAAGTATTGTATAATTTCCAAGAATATTGCGTTTGATTTTCAAACACGTCCATTAAGCAAGAAACTGTTTATAGAAGAATGGACCGTGATTTCATATAAAGGGTTTTATTCAAGTACAGAAAATAACGGTTTAGTGAGACAGAGTTTTGTTTCATTTCGTTCACTTTTTGGGACCTTTCTCCCCTTCCTCTAATGTTGTCATGACAACATGTGACATGGTTGTGCTCTCTGTTTTTACCTTGCATGCCTTTTATATGGGTATTTTCATTTCATCTGGAAACTTGTGTCAAACACTATTAGCGGGTATCATTTATCATCAAAACCACAAACGATCTGATGTCATCGTCAATATCATCATACAGTTGTTACTTACATATATACAAACGGCATGTTTAAGCGTGTACCTTGTGTAAATATAAACATGGAGGCGTGAAAGGTTTATTTTTGTACACGGAAAGGAACGAAATTCTTACACTGAACAGATATTTTGTTGTATTCTTGTATTGATACTGTAAACACTATATTAAAGCAAATCGGCTACTTTTTATCTCTCCTGAAACTTAATCAGTGACAAATGTACAAAAATCTTTTGGTACTGCACTTTATGATTGTTTATAAATAATAAAGTAGAAAGTCATAAGTCTATGCTGGCCAAAGGGGATGGTTCCTTGACAGACAGAACGGAGGAGGGAAATAACTCGTATAAACACGTGATTTAATGTTGTTTTATTATCGTCTTCCTTGTTGTCATTTGTACTTCATCATCGCCATCGTCGTTAGTATGTCCGGAATCCTGAATGGTATAATACTCCATATAGATTTAGGACATGTTTATTTGGTATGTAAAATGAGTTCACCTGATTTTTCACGAAGTTAAGGTTAAACTATCAAAATGGTATGTTGTGCTCGAGGTATGTATGCAGATGTAAGTTTCACATCCTTATATATCTGTCATTTGTTGAGACATACAAGTCCTGTTATTAAAGTATCCCATTACTGTCATAACATTATGCCAAAGGTAGTGTTTGATACCTGTATATATTGACGAATAAAAAGATGTTTGGTATAGATAAACTTTTGTCGTTGTTTTTAGATAAAATTACACATTTTGAGAAAAAAAAATGAAATTATTTGTTATTGGCATTGAATGTCACATGGCACTGAAGAATATATGATGCGGTCTTTAGGGTCTTCGAAAAAGCAGACTTGACTTTTGAATATAGCAGCAGATACTATATGTTGAGATAAATTCATGTTAAATTGAAAATTTTATTTATCAAGAATCTGCAGTGCACTTTTGTCGAATGATTTAATGTTCAGTATCAAATGAAGGAAACACAACAAATATAAGATAATTATTACCGCAGACATGATATATGTTGAAATATTCTTTAGACTTTTAAGAGAAATTAACTTGGGTTTAACACAGGAATCGTGATATGGAAAACAATGAGGATTCATCATTCAGTTTCATCCACTTTATTCATCATAGGAACACAGTAAATAAAAATCTTCGTTGAAAAGTCAGAAAAGTTGGAAACACAGTTAGACTATTCACAAGACATAGCAATATCAACTCAGTTATAAACAAAACACACATAACAGCACAACACAGTTATATCTAGATAAGGAGAAGAACCTTCCCAACTTTTTAAAACTTCGACATGATTGACATGGTTGTGGTATGTACATTGTAAGGGAGACAACCCAAAATTCGTTTGCACGCTCATATCATTCTGTTTTTATCTATATTGGCAAAGTATTTCCCTCGATGAAAAACGTGAAAAAATAAAACGTTCTGACCGAGTGTAACACGTCTACCTGCATCCCGTACTTGACGTCCCGATGTCTGATGAAGTTTATAAACATGTCGCTACACTGGGCCTTATAAGAACCTACAAAAACGAATTATAACACCAGTGAGAGACACGACGATCCTTTGGTTTCTTGCTCTGGAAGATTACTATATAAATGCGAAATGAAAAAAGAAAAAAAGAAAAAAAAAACGACAGATGCTTGCCTTCAATGACACATATTCGTCACAGTCACAATAAAAATATAGGAAACAAAATGTTATTAGAAATCGAAATTGGGTGTTATAAACATATTTGATATCTCTCAACACCAAAACGCAACCATTGAATGCATTTTTACGATTGCTATAAAAATGTGACATTGCTGGTTTTCTCAATTTTTCTATTCCTCTAAAGCACTTCTAAAAATTTCGATTGTCTAAAGCAATACGCTTATCCCCTTCAATGTGGACGTCAACAATGTGATGTAAGCCTAATGTTTAGGTGTTAGAGAGTTGACATCGAATCAAATCTTCTCTAGAGTAGGTGTGATCCATTAAAATTGTTTGTGGCGTAGAGGATTCCAATTGAAGAAGTTGATCGAATTGGCAGACAAATAATATTGATAAATGAACAAAACGAGTGAAATACCCTTTGACGTTTATGCGTGATTCTTTTAAATTTTTCACGTCATACAATTATAATGATTATAACACATTACTTTCACATTTGCGAAATAATTAGTAACATCAATATACACATATTTTATATATATTTTTATGAAAAAGAATGCTTATTTAACCAACATATTTTAAATAAAGAACGTGGATTAAAAATCCTACATAAACCAATGTATACTGCTGTTGTGATACATTCATGATTTCATTGTTGTAATTGTTCTAAAAGGGAACACACATGAGAAAGCCGGTATCATTGGCCCCTTTAATGACATGTAGCAAGTAATTGTTTCATGGAACAAACAATATCTAGCTCCATCAAAGTAGTATTAAACCGTGATATATATCATTTCCTAGTACTCCATAGTCTCTTGACAACCTTTTAGGTATGGATATTTCCATTTAAGCTACAATCTATGTCTTCATTGAATACATATGTTGTATCTATTTACAATATTGCACTGAGAGTAGATTTTGCAATTCAACTTAGTACATTTAAATCCGTCTGTACATCGCCATGAGTAACTTATGTGTACTGAAAACAATAGCTATATATTTTAACAGATTCAGTGACGCTCCAGGAAGTTTAGAGAACACGTGGACACTTGGAGAATCAGATATACACTGCATTTAGTCAAACTGGCACGAGATTAGTATGTATCAAGATCAGCGTTGGTAACGCAATTTTGAAGCGCAGCCATTGTATCTTAGCAACTGTCGTGATGTTTGTTTTGTTTCATACATTTGTAAACAAATATACAATAAAATAAACAATAGTTTTGCAATTTAAAGAGAAAGAAAAAACATGTTTAGGCAGCTAGTTAAACTCGGCTACGGTGATGTAATGTTACGTCTTACTTCGTTGCTAGATCAATGCTTTGTAAGATTTAAGTGTGAAAATAACTGGACAGTTTGCAGTGTAAGCGACAGCAAATATCCTTTAATTTTGATTAATTACAAACATTACAGATGTTCATGTTGAGAAGTTTATTAAATGACTTGTATGAAGAACAGAGTTTTAAAGGAAGAATGATTCTTTACATTGCAAAAAGTCATTTTCACGGAATACAGTAAAAGGAAATAGATATATTAAACAGAAATTTGTAATTAATAAGATGCTGATTTTGAAAAAAAAAAAACAAAAAAAAACTGAGCTTCATTATGAGGTCCCGTTACTTCTTATTGTATGGAATGACAACACCGAGTTTATGCCAGTCCATTGAATATTAGTGAAAATTCGATGAATATAACGCATGAAATACAAATAAATATATACATCTAGTAAATCATTAAAACACATACGCATCTCTCTTTCATTTCATCTTTCTTTTTGTATCACAAATCTATATTTGCTCCCGGATTAGACATTCATCATAAATCTACCTTTGTGTTTACCATAAAACGCATCAGTGCATGCATGCGCCTTCCTATTAGGAAGCAATGTGACAACAAAAGATAGAAAATTACGTGATGATACTTTATGCTTGGGTGTCAGTTATCAGCTCTGTCATGAAAATATGGGAATATGATGAATCTTTCCAGCGAAGATGAATTTCATTTACAAATGATGATTTTGCAGTAGAAAATAAGCGCTGTTGTACTACGTGGTAATTTCAGGGAACGCCGCTCAAAAACCAGCAGACTGCAAACGGCATTTTGCAACACCAGATATTCTTTCAAACACGAGTTATCTTAAGTCGTGTTCACTTCTTACAACATTTGGATACTATGACAATATCACATAATCGATATAAAAATGATTATTTAGAACATTCGTTCTGCTGACACAATGCATACAAACTTAAGAAATTCGTACATTTTACATATTTATAATTTCATATCATTTCTATACACATTTATATATATAGCATTTATGTACATACGTTTTAGACATTGAACTATAAGTATGATTCCAAAATATACAATAAACTTTCGTCTCCACTGATACTTATTTCTTGTCTTGTCGAAACATAATGACACGAAAACATAAAGGCGTCATGACGATCTAACCTTATATCAAAATGGACACAATTCATATAGTTTATGGTATATACACAGTGTTTTCTGTATCATGAAATAAATCTGGTCAAGGGTGCATAACTGGGATTTGAATTGGGAGAAATACATCTAATACATAGTGTCCATGTATTTCGTTATGAATAAGAATGAATCAAGATTTGTGTTGATTTATAACATTTTAACATCATACCAATGAAAAAGATGAACGCAGACCATCTTATCCAATTGACCTATCCAATAGCCTGACAAAAACACTTAATTAGCATATTTAATCGTGTTATTAGTAATAAGAAATGTATTTCACTCAAGTTTGTAATATTCTCGTATCTTCGCTCGCTCACTCAATCACTCACTTACCCCTTCACGCACCCGTAAAAGGTACCAAAATGTTACTTTCCCACGTGAAATGTATTCGTTATTACTGAAAACACTGTTAAATATTATGCTCTGACGCATTCATTCAGAAGTTTAAAAGAAGATCAAAACGTTTGATTTAATTTTCAAATATCTACAGGAAATCATCTAACACTTTTTATCGATGTAACATGATGAACATTCCGCAAGACTGTTCAAATATAACCTTTGATCAAAAAGTGGAACATAGCCATTACACGTTAAGCAATTCCCATTTTCCCTAGTCTTTCCTGAAGCACGTGCAAATTTATTTGTTACAGAATATCATAGTAAGAAACCGTCATTAGGACATCTTTGATGAACAATTATTGTGACGTCGTAAACAGTGCTGAAAAGAGAATATAGGACTCTGTGAAATTATACTTCAAGTAAAGCGACCTATTTCGATATTTCTATGGGCCTAGTAGACCCCTATTTATTCTTTTATTGAAATGAGAATTTCATGTCGGACAAACTAGTTTGGAATAAATAATAAGGTACATTCATATTTTATTAGTAACCATTTCGTTAGCAGTTAAGGCAATACTATGTATAGCTATAAATCAATGTTTTCATAGAGTAAGCAAAGAAATAAACCACTTTTCTCAACGATGAAGTAGATTAGGAAGGCTAAGGGGCCAAGCATTTACTTTAGTTTGGTATCTTATCTGACGCTTCTTTCGCAATAAAGTATATATGAACCATTCAGAGATATATTGTACAGTTGAAGTGCAGAAGTGCAGGATATTTTTCTCCAGGATGCGTTATCAAATAACGTTAACCCTGGGATAACGCATTATATGAGGGCTTATTGATAATAGTTGTGAGCCTTGTATTGACGATTTTAAGTTGGGGTGTTTTATTGAGCTCTACTATTTCCTGACTATTTAAGGTTGGTTACTTGAAGACTGGTGTCTTTTTGGTCAGTTGTTGAAGAGGTAGCACTCTGAAGTAAACAATGTATGTGACTTTTGCAAAATGAACAAAAAAAACTGAAAGAGCAGTGATTCAATATTTGCTTAAGAAAGGTGTAGTACCTAAGGATATCCATACTGATATGGTAGCAACACTTGGGAATGACGCCCTTTCATATGCTACAGTGAAAAGTGGGTAGTGTAATTTAAGTGTGGGAGGTAGAGCCTTTGGAATGACACTCGTCCTGGAAGGCCTGTCACTGTTGCAACCTCATAAACAGCCAATAAAGTCCGTTATATTGCTATGCCCGACAGGTGAGTTACAGAAATATATATAGCCAGTACAGTTGGGATTTTACAGGAAAGAGTACATTCCATTCTTACGGAAGATCTTGCAATAAGAAAGCTCTTAGCACGTTGGGTACTAAGACTTTCGAGTTTGTCGCGTGCTAATCTTAACATTTTAGAGGCAGATCCTCCTAACATTCTTGTATTGTAACTTTGGATGAAACATGGGTCCATCATTTCACCCCAGAGGCCAAACAACAGTCTAAACAATGGAAGCACCCTGGTTCACTGCAAGGACTGTTACATCAGTGGTGAAGGTTATGGCTTCGGTTTTCTGGGATGCTGATGGTATTATGAACGCAGATTATCTGCAAAAGGGACACACAATCAACGGAACATATCAAGCATCACTTCGGAGACAGTCAAAGCAAATAACAAATCCAATCGCCGCGGAAAACTCAGTAAAGGTGTACTGTCTCCACCAGGACAATGCCCCTGTTCATATGTTTGTCATTGTCATAGCTGACACTATGGATTGTTGCTTTGAATTGATTGAACATCCGCTTTATTCGCCTGATCTTTCTCCATCAGACTTTCGTCTATTTCCAAAATTGTCAAAAACCATCCCCACTACCCATTTGCGTCAGATGATGACGCCCATACACGCAGTGGAGGAATTTCTAAACAGACAAGAAAAGTATGCATTTTAAAAGTGGCATTGAGGCCCTTAAATATCGCTGGCAAAAGTGTATAGATGTTGAAGGGGATTACGTTGGAAAAATATGTGTCCGCCAAAAGTCAAAAACCTTAAATATGAGGCTCCCAATTTATCAATCAGCCCTCGTATTTCATTCATATTTAAGTTAAAGCAGTGGTCGAAGATATTTTATAAACATGTATCAGCATGATATTGTGTCTTGATTTGAACTTGGGGTGTTGAATTGTTAGACCCGCTTAGAACAATTGCAAGCATCATTGACGTCCAGTCATTAATCATCTATGTCAAGAATATGTTATATTATCTTACAAGTCTAGGTTTTACAGTAGGGCTAATACCATAAGGCACTTCCCGATTACTGAAGCAAATCGTCATCTACAAAGTCTTTCAGCCAAATCCAACTTCTTGGTTCTAATCAATATGAATAGGGACTGCAGCTAATTGGAGTTCATCTCGTAAATATCATGTACTACTGACTTAATTAAAAGAAAACTATGGAATCAACTCCTCTTTACCCCAAGTGATTAATTGATGTATGAGCCAATTATGTCCTCGAACCTTAAATAAACCAAGGACATCACATATTCAATATGGCAGACCAGCTGTCATTGAAACTATGTGATACCGATGTACATATCTACAACTGTAGCAGTCGCTACGTATCTGTATCACTGTAGTCAACGTGAAGGTAACCTCCTTCGCCGAACTGAAATTCCTTAGACGGCTGATTTGGGGATTTCTTCATTTCGCGTAAAGTCAACATGCCGTTTGGCGAGTCCACTTGAACCTCTGTTAGTGGGCAATGCGTTATGTGTCTTTTCTTGCACTTTGCACAAGTCCGTTTAAATTTAGGCTTTTTGGAAGATCCATGACATCGAACAGCGAATCTTAGCTCCTCTGCCATCTCTGAACATATGGATTGCTGTAATATAATAAAACAACAATATTAATCAAATGATAAGAATTCAAGAACATTTAAACAATTAAAATTTCGATACTTTACAACACACCATTAATAAGACTGTTGTGGTGGTTGCTGACGAAAGGTTAACTGTGCGATTCACGTGATTAAGCAGCATAGAGGATGGTGAGTAAAGGGATGTGCACTTTCAAAACGATGCAGTTATTGTTCATCTAAATAACTTATCGTTATGCTATTTATATTTCACAATTTTTTTTTATATTCTGCATTGAAGCTAAATGTACAAAAATAATTGTGTTTATATATGTATGTTTTTAATACAATCCATGTCATATAATACATTTAGTTGGCAAATGTTTGCATTGAAAGCGATAAATCAAAAGTGAAAAATGCAGTTAAGCACAAAATAAAGCAAGTGATCTTATCAATAGTACGTGAATGTGTAGTAAATGTACGGAGAATGAAATGCCGAATATATATCAAGAATGTACAACTTATTAATATTTCGAACATCAACATCCACAGTAAAATCATATTAAACTGAAAGAAAACGAAAACATGGTCTCGTGGTCCAGTTAACACTTCCTGTTGATAACCATACAATGGTTGGTTGGTTCACCGACATATATAATGGTATTGTATTTATATATATATAAGTATGTGACATGTCAATTTAAGAAACAAAATAGGTGAACATTACACTTCAGTTGCTGGAAAAAAGATGCTTTTGACTTACGAGATCTGTTTATTGGTATGAGAGCCTCTCCATCACAATAGGTGTCATTGAGTGTATATCAGAATTGTAATGCAACAGATCTCTATATAGGTTTTGTGTTGATGTATAGGTGAACTTTATTACCAGATTTATGGAAATTGTACATACGTCTCAATTTTAGAGAATCCATAAAATAGATCGTGGATGATGTTATTACACGAATAAGTTTCACGAGAAATTAATTTTTAATGTTGTTGTGCTTGATGGTGGAGGTATACAGGTATACAGCAATCATCAATCAGATATGACCATTTTCCTAACTATTATATGACGTATGCTGTTCGATAATAGGATCGAAAGACATTAAAGTGTGATACTGTTGTCCCATGGTCGCGAAGCTATGGGGCAAACAAAAAAAGAAAGCATCTTGCCGTTGCCTTCGACAACGATGTTATGCAAAAATATCCTTATATCAACAATGAGCTTAAATAATTATTACAGAAAGTTACTGTCAAAAACTGCATTGCGACGACAATATCGTACAAACAAATTGCCAGGTATATAAAAGAAAGCTATAATTCAAGCATTTGACTTACAGCGACAGATATTAACAATTTATGCCAAAGCTCTTAAATTGGATAAACAAATAAGTTAAAGCTGATATATAGCACAGAACATCTTAGCTAGCCATTTATATAAACACGATCTTCCAACACCGCAACGTTTTCATGACCACAAAGGTAAATCTGAAGTTTTCAAAGACCTGTTCCCAATATCACGATTTTCGGGGGGAAATGTCGACAAAAGATCGACATATTTGCAACACAGGGTTTCGAGAGATGTATTGTGATAAAAATTATAGGGAGGTGTTACGGTCATCATAATGATCTCATCGAAAGTTGTTTGGTTTCTTTGTGTGATATAAAGCTTGACATGATTGATGTTTGTTTGTTTGTCTGTCGATTCCGTTGTTTTATTCTTATTTGGAAAGATAACATTACTTACATCTTGACCAAGATTTACATAGTGGGTGTCGTCGATAAAGCAGAATACATCTACTCTATCGGATCAACTGGTATTATTCTGCTTCTTCAGGAGTCTCCGTGTAAATCTTTCTTTTGTTCATATTTTGCACTAGATTTATTGCCTTACAGTTTGGAATATGATAATGATGACATGTAGTCATGTTCTTGTTGTTTTTAGCAACATGCAAACACACACACACACACACACAAATAATTGAAAGCAATACAGATACCAGGAATCGGTCAAGCTTTGTCAAAAGCATAAAGTACAAATATATTTCTTATGATAAATATTAAGATCTGTAACTGCGATCATTAGTCAAGCTTTATTTGATACTTTTGAATGCATAAAGCCAACGCTATCTGGCTTCAACTGATATACGGAAAGCCAGCACTAAATGTTAAAACAATCGCAATGGTTTTAAGGATCATAAATGCTAAATGTTAAGACCTTTACTCAATGCAATAATGTCAATAAAGAAAGTTTAGCGTTGACAAACAGTACGTCATGCTTTTCGCATTACGATGTGTTGAAAATGACGATTAAGAAAGATATGACATTTACTTGGTTCATCCAAATCCCAACCGACCAATAAATGTCTTCATTTGCTTTCAGAACACAACATTTGCTTTGCCTTGTGAGATATCAAAACACACGTTGTTCGCTATCTTAATCTAAATTTTGGCCCATATGCAGTATAAAAGTATTGCAAGTAGCGTTGCACTTGTATTGTTTCTAAAACTGCTTAAATTTCTTTAGCTAAATTCATAAATGATTTTACCATTAAGTAACTAATATGGTAATATGGTTTTACGCATCACCATCGATGTTGCTGTTCAGTATTTTCCTGTTGAAAATACAACACCTTTTATCCAATGACTTAATTTATCAGGTCATACCAGATCCAGGCCTCATAGACAATGATGTAGTTGATATGTATCACACCTGATATCATAGTGACTTTTTCGGTTCATATGCAATTAGCGTAAAGTTACGTGACAGGAATTTGGAGCAACATTATCATCGACATCTGCTCTCGATTGGTGCAACCTAAAAATGACATTGTGTGATACCAAATTTATATTGCCAGAAAGAGCATTGTCTAAACCATTAAAAAATAATGTCCATATGAACATTTATATGATTTATCATTGAAAATATTCAAGTGGACAGTAGAATTCAGATTGTTGGATTTCTTCTGTCTACTAATGACACAAATGTTTCCTCTTTTGAAAAGTCGGCATCGATGTTAATGTTACTCAACATGAATCGAACTCTTTTTCGTTCGTTGTACACGGGTCTATGACAACAGTCGTAATAACAAGCCAGAAGTCTTCCATATTTCGTTTCAAAAAGGCATTGGCTGTTGTATAAATAATAGAAATACGATATGAATTCAACAAAAAACAACAAAACTGTTGTGGGACACATAAAATTACTCTCGGGATACTAACTACCATAAATAGAAATTGACTGCATCAACAGAGTCGAGTTGCTGGACTCTTGGATAGAAAATTATCATTCATACGTATTGTGATGATGAAAATTAAACGCATACCACACACATGTATTGCGTGAAAGTATTGTACAAGGTTAACTGTATTTCATACCCGTTCATCAACATTGCCGCGTCGTAAAACAATGTGACGTCACCGATTAAGAAATTTGTTACAATGTATACTTTGTATGATTACGTTAGGCTTAATGACTGAAGTTTCAGGGAGAAACATTAAATCATACTAGCGTAAGATTAATAGACAGTTTCTTAACGTGGACTTGGGAAATGTGAAATATTTTTAAAATGAAAATAAAACAATCAGTCAAAGGGAACTAGAGATATACGACATTTTAACATTCTACTGTTTTATCTAAACACAATGCCTCTGAAGCCGCGATATCTCTTAGTCACAAACAACAAAGAAAGGTCACGATTCATATTAAGTTAGAACATTACCTAAGTCTAATGTTCTATCATTTTTGATAATGTCATGATAAAATACAGAATTATATGATTAACTGAAACTATAAGAACAGAAAGAATGTAACAAAATGTTCTCATTTCATTGGACGGGGAGCTTTCTCTCGTCAGGAAATTGTCTGAACGGAGTAATTGCGGGCGGCCTGACATGCATTTAATAAGAGACCTAGAAACAATTACCTCATGTAAAGGTATATAAGCAATGCCATCGTTTTAGCAAATTTTATTTCTATTAACTGGCAGGATTCCCAGCAAACACTAATTGATTCGAGGGCAACGTTCGTTATATCCCGCGCTTTCTTCTTCATTTCTTATGAGAATGCTTAATTAAGTAGATACGTAATGGGGGCTAGCATAAGAAAATTGTAACTCCAAAACACAGTCTACACAAAGAGGTGTCAAATTCCGACTTTACAAAAAAAAAAAAAAAAAAGAAAAATAAGATAAAAAATCTTAATCAAACAGACCCTAATGTCTTCACCCTTCGCCGATATTTATTGTTTTGATAAAATTGTATTTTGAATATATTTTCCTCGCTACATTTAACTTTTCCTAAAAGATCATATATAAGTATTGAATATTGTTGATGACGTGAACTGTATGACTTATGCTAATTCGCCGGACCACCTTTATTTTCAGTCTTATATTCAGTTGGTGTATGTTGAAATTGAAGTTTCAGCTAACGTCATACACTGAAATAAAGATTAAGCTAATCACAATCCCACCATTAGTCGCACATATTTTATTTTCAATGTGATTACTAGCCACATTTTTGTTATAATTTCCTCTTATTTTCAATGAGACTCAATATTTCAAATTTGAAATACAAGTATTTCATTGGAGATTTTGCATAACTTAATATCTATAGAAAGTAAAACTGTTATCTAAATTACACAGGTATTATTTTGGACCTGACATTCTTTTGAAATCATTCAATACTGTTAATTATAATTAGTGCATCTCTAGATTGTTACCTTGGCATTAGAATAAACGTCGATTCATCATTAAAATATTAGGCCCTATGCATAATTGTGAAGTGCTAGAAGGATGAAAGTGAAGCTAGTATTTATCATTTCGTTATCTGTCTGTTAAGCCTTTTATTGAAAAGCCTTCTATGAACTATTTGTGTTTGAATGAACCAGCGAATATTTTACTATGTCACAAAGTTCTTATAATACACAAATTCAATTGTGACAATTTATACCTTTTCATAGATATTACCAAGAGTTTTGTCATAGGAAAGTAGCAAATAGAGTCATGCATGTTGAAAAAAACCTGGTAATATAAAAAAATAATCAATTCGAAATGGATTTAGCCATTGTTTGTCTTGGAAAAAACATCGCAAACCTCAAACTAATTTCAGATAAAAATATTCATTTTATTTATTTATTTACTTTTTATGTTTTGAAATGTTGGCTATCTGAATGAAAACAAGTAAAACTATCTTAATTTGTATAAAATTCGGGAAAGTAGCTTCTGACTTTCTTTATGATCAAGACATTGAAGAAAAACAAATATCTCGACATATGTCTACCCCTTTTGTAACAGTGGATATCAAAAACTAACAGTGTGGTAGAAACAACCAAATTACAGAAAGTTTTTGCTAAAAAATTAATAGGAACTACTCTCACACATAGAAACAATAAATCTTCAGAGACCAGTGGCACTAAAATGTAGCTTTTTTCAACATTCAAAGCTAAGAACCTTCCAATTACTGCAACCTGTATATAGGTGATATAAAAATACACTGCTAAAAAGTTGCAATAAACTTTTCTGTGCATGCTATTCTTAACAGAAATATCATCTCAGTGAAGATTTCTGGAAAAAGTGAACTTAATCAGATTGATCAAAACCTCGTTTCGTGCAAATTTTACTGAATTGGTCAAATCCATTTATGAACAATCAGAATGGGCGTTGACAGTTTTGATGATATCTTTGATTGCCAACATATTTGGTAGGCGTTACTAACTACTATAACATGGCCCTTGTGACCAAAGGCATTTATTTAAGGTTTAAGTAAAATGTCGTATCTAAATGAATCAGATTAACTCGTGATCCGCCATAGCACAGAATGGGCGGATACATAGTTTTCAATAGAATGATTAAGTATGTTCAAATTTCGCTTCAAATTAGTTAATGACAAATAAATTTTTGGTTGCTTTACTAATTAGCGCAGAATTTTCTTCTTCAGAATCGTAGACATTTTTTCCATTGTTGATGCGAAATATGCATGGACGTCTTGACAGTTAGAACTTGGATACATTCGTTTCCAAATCATACCAAACTTACTTTTTTTCAATAGTTAGCATAGCGATACTGTTAAAAAATAACAACTGAGTTGATTTTTAATTAATTATTACGTGTGCATTTTTTCTTTACTCTTTAGGTACCTTAGAGGGCCAACAACAGTTTCCCAAATGCTGATTCCATGAAACATTTTGCGGTTGCTAATAAAATGCTTAATTTTACGTTGATACATTCAGCCAACAAACAAATAGATAAAAACACCAGCAAAGTAACGATGCCTTTTATCGTTCATACACTAAGGGCCTTCCTTCGACTTATTGCATAAAATGTAATAGATAAACAGAATTTTCATGAATTTATTTTGGTGGCACTTTACATTTACACAGAGCTTCCATGATAAATGGATACATCATCCATCAGTCTGGATTTGCAGCCTCGCACGCTGATCCCATAAGTAGAAATCCGATCAGGTTGTCACTGTGGTTTAAAGTGTTTGTAAACTAGATATGTGAAGATAGTATAATAGACATCGTTTTTGCCAAAAAGGTGAAAGTGAACGTTTGTGTAAAATTGTTCATGTATTTTAGGGCGAATTTGATACTGGTGGATATGAATGGATTAAAAAATACTTCGGAGAAGGTATCAGTATTCCAATGTATGTTATTCGATTGTGATATTCGGATCATAAATAAGTCGGCTACCTCTCTGAATCGTGTTTCTTATGTCTATTTAAGAGCATGATGTCATGTTGTGTGATCGCACAGCGTTGCACAAAGTGCGACAAGCGTTATATGTCATTACAATGTGCGCACGTTAGTGGTCGAAATATGCTCTCCCACTCCCGAGTCCATGATCTGTGCGATCTTATGTTTAGATGGGACTTATAAAGTGTGGCGTATGTCTTATTTATTTTCTAGATATAAATAACAACTTAATGTATTTTTTAAATTAGGCCATATATGTATGTATTAGACACATGAAGATATATCAGGTACAGACTGAAAAAATAATCATTTGTGAAAACTTGTTAACAAAATACCACACGTGACCAGTCTTCGGTACAAACACTCAGCATATCTACACTATAAATATGTCTATCTATTTAAATTGTCCTTTATATTCATTCTGTAATACTCGCATTCAACATTAAGGTAGAATTTAAGGGTTCGTTAGAACATATCAAGCTTGTACAGTCCTATCAAGTTATTTTCCGAATAATTTTTCTCTCTTTCTTTTTTGTCCGGGGCACATCACTCGCCATCTATTGAGATGTATTCACTGAAGGGACAGGTTAAATCAGGATCCAGTTGTAAGTCAATTTCTATTACTCCACGAGTTTTCCGTTTAAATTTCGATTTGTACTATTAAATCCTTTTTAACAAAATGGGAGATCCTATCTCTGAGTTGTGCGCTAGATACTGAATTGTGTGTGTGTTGAGGGTATGCGGAGGATGTATGCACGATTGATATACGTACACTATGTTTTTGGTGCGTTGTGTGAATCAACACTGTATGTTGCAATTAACAAGGCATTTTTGTTAAACAGGGATATCATTATATGCATGGTAGTGGACACAGATAAAGGATAAATAATTTCATATTTTAAAGCCATATGATCTTTTTTCTGTCTGAACGCTACCATTATTCAGTGTAACCTTTATCGTTTCCTTATCAGATTTGATATAACTAATTTTATGACACATTATATCAGGACACCTCAAACGATAGACACTTCTATATCAGTCACCTGCCTCGAACTTGTCCTACAAGAAACAACAAGAGAATACCAACATGTCGTGTGATCATAATCCACTCAAATTCAATTAATTTTGAGAAAATATCGATAAAGGAGAAATTTGCACGGATATTCATGAAAAAAATCCAAGGAGAATAAGACCATATGTTCAAAAAGACTAAGCGTCTTCTGCTGCATCAACTACATTCGCCATGTAAATCGTGGTCATAAGAGTAAGTAATGTCAAGTTCTCATATGAGAAGAAGGTAAACAACAACGGACTAACAGGCAAAGTAACGAGCACCAAATACGTTCAGCTTCATATTGCCAAAGAAGCAGAATATTTTTTTTTTTCAATGAGATCAATTCGACGACCTTAAAACAAAGGACAGCTTTACAATCAGCTGCATGACAAGCGTAAATATTTCAATTTTCCAGAAATTCTATTTCTGGATAGTACCTCGCCTGTTTTCCCAACCTTTCGGGTTTAAATGTCGCAGTCGATTAATTATTCAAGGACATGATCCAAAATATCACGATTTTTGTACAATATGTCGTCAACAGACCAAATAAACTAGCAAAATATGGTTTCGAGATAAGCAGGTTGATGGCGCTAATTAGGTATGATGATCTCGTTGGAAAATATGCTTTTCCGTTGTGCGATATATGGTGGTATGTATTTGGTGCTTGTTATTATGGCTGTGGTTCCGTTATTGTTTACTTTGTAAACATAGGAAGACGCTCCGTCGTTCACTAGAATTGACCAAGCTTTACATGGCGGGTATCGTTGATGAAGCATAAGACGTACAATTCTGAAACACCTGGTCTTTTCCCCCAATATTTGTTTGCAAGTTATCGAGGAAATTTTCATTTATCATACATCGTTTCATCGAATTTAAATTTGAATTTGATTTCAGATTCTGTCGATTTTTCGATAATTTCGTCGGTTGTATTTTTTAAAAACTTTTTACCTGACTTAATTTGTTTAAACAATGTTTCGAATGAACAAAACTTTTACGTATTAGGCAATCAAGCAGCTGCAGAAAACATATTCCACAAAGGTAGATGGATGCTGGTAATTTCTCAAATATTTCAGTTACCTAATAATAAAACAAATATTCAACAGTGAAGAGAAACCGATAATTAATTTGTTTTGTACGTTTCAAATTGACTAATAAATATACAGTAAGTGAGTGAAGTAGCAGGTCTTGTGACCTAGTTTGTATCACATTAACACCTCTCTCAGAAAGACGTCTGCTGTTTGTGTCCCTGAGCTGACAAAATAATGTATAGATTCACGTGCTGAAGTATGTAGACGCTTCAATTTCTTTGGGGTTTTTCTTCATATCCACACCTAGCGCTCTCGTCATTTAGGCTAACAGAAAGTGATGATGTATAGAGCTGTTTCTTAATTGTTGTAAAATAAATAAGGTGTAAAAGAAACAGTGATATATAATTGAAAAAAAAATATGAAAATATTTCCTTCGCTTAAAGGAGTCTCAATTTGAGCAACTGAAGAAGAATTGAAAATTTAATAATTACATATGTTTTTGAATTTTAAGTATACAAAATAAATTGAAAAAGCAGTTTGTGGCATCGATTTGCTTACCCTTTGACCTTTCCAGTCATAAACACGTCCACACTAAAGTAACCGAGAAAAATGCGTTCTTTGTACGGGTCAATCATTGCTAACTGTTAAAGTGCCTTTACGACCAATATTACAACTTCATGGCAAAGATTTAATGTTTCCATTTACTTCCACCATCTTATTAAAAAAATTGCTGAGATTCAGAGTATTCATTTTCAGACTTTTACTATTTTTGTTTGTAATATATGTGTTGACAAGTATATAGATGATGTTGGTTGAAGATTATAAGGATATAGATTAATTCGATAGAAGTGTTATTAATGTTTATTACTCCAGAATGTACGTTTGCTATATGATACTGATACCGATATGATAGTCAATGTACGATTGAAATATAAATGTATATGACTTATATCGCCAAATACTTGTAAAATAAGACGACATCCACATTAGATTTACAGTCCCAGGAGTAATATAAAATTTACATTAGATTAAACTCATGTAATCAATATAGGAAAATTATGTCAAGGACGAAGTGAACTCTTTACTACACTTACCCTGTCTTCTCGGGCGTTTCGCCTGGATTTCCAAAGGAACTCTAAAATGGCGACAAAGACGGCCAGCGCCAGACCACCAAGTAACACGACGAAGATACCTCCAACGTTCTCCACACCAAGGGCGTTAGCCTTGGACTCCTTCTGCTCCTCACGGCTACACTTGCCCGTGCTCTTCCACCACTTGTTGTATAATAGCTGTATTCGGCCCTCCTCCTGCATCTGTAGAATGGCCATTGACAACCGGTCTCGCAATGGAGAATCTGTGGGAAAGATTGTGTAATAGTATCAATGAAACAGACGATTCGTACATTTCCGGAATATCTCATCTAATTTACCTTGACCTTGTTCAGGCGTCTCTGTGAAAATCTTTCTTTTTGTTCATATTTTGTCCTAGTTTTAATGAATTTGAGTTTCTCTTTTTTCATAAAATCAATATCTGAGCTTTATTTTGACAGAAATAAATATGAATATATATTAAATAGGAAAAACATAATACAAAGGACAAAGATATAAATCTGGTGATACAGATAATGATATGTGCTTCCAGTAATGCGTTAGACAGAGGTTTAATCCATGCAAATGATGACCTCCTTCATCTCTATATAACATAATTTCGATAACTAATATTTTATATTCTAGATATATGAGATTAAGTTTTTACATAACGTTGTTTGGCGCTATACTCCTCGTATGTCTTGTTTAGCTTAATGATAAAATGATCTTGCAAAATTCAAACTCACAACTATAGATATTCTTGCCAATTTTAGGCGTTGATTCCGGTCGATATGGTGTCTTATTCACTTGAAAGGGAAATATTTGTATTTTCCAACCACGTCGATAGAAAACCGTAGATCGAAATAAAAAAAGTTCTCTATTTCTATAAAAATGTTGACTTGTGTTCTGGAGATTGATGAAATATTATCTTGACTTCAAAAGAAACAAATAGGCAAAATTCATAATAATCAACAAATCTATCTATTTTTTTAATTATGTACAAAAATAAACAACTTAGTGACAAATGTAATGCCTAAATGAGAATATCTCAATCATCCTTGGAGACATATATCTCACATTTTGGGGACCATATGGTCCTATTGCTAAAATGTAAGAATACGTAGTCCCTTTGTTATATACCAAACTGCACGTGACGATACATTATCCGACCTGGACAATTGGAAATATTGACATATGAAATATATATCTTTCGTCAGATAAACTATGTGTATTCTGTAGAATAGCTGGTGTCACGTCATTCATGTTTCTATATTAGTCGGCGTGACATTATAAACCGCACTTAGGTCCCCGACGTCATTATGACATATATATTATGCCTTTATTTTCATCTTTGATGCTCAACAGCTTAGTCTTTTATTTTTATGTGCGAAATAGTTACTTCCTGTACCGATAAAGAATAATAAAATGAATTGGTGTAACAAGCCAAATAGACAGATAACGTTTGCGCCAGGTTCATCACTTTTGTCGGGTATAACGACTTCAATCCGAACCCTTGCGGATATGAATGGCATTCTGCGTGTTCTTATACCAACACTAATTTCCGTTATCACTGATGTACCACGTGATTAAAAGACAGAAGAATAATAATTAAACTTAGTTATAAAACGTAGGAGTTCCTCTAGAAATACATGTTTTCATCCTAGACTATTCAAACAATGATAAGGACACTCCATATGTTTATAAGTAAAACAAAATCAAAGTGAAAGCGACCTATTAGTATGACTTAAACCATTTCAAGTGACTCACAATTACAGTAAGAATAACAGACATAGATTTGGAGTCATATATCTATATTCAATAACAGGAGTGCTATATTTTGATAATGACTATGAAACTCAATGGTGCTACATTGCCGCTGGGTTTATGGTGAGATAAGACAGAACTGCTTAAGTAAAGGAAGTGTAAAAAGACATTTTATCATCCAACAAGTGGATATATCTATTTAACATCATTCACAGTTTTATTTGTGTCGAAATGAAACGTATACGTTTTTCAACAAATTTAATAAAATACGTTTTAAAAAGTCCATCAGTGGATTCTGCATTTAAATAAAACGATCTAACTGCTTCCATTATGATTCTGTCAGACACCCTGATATTCATAAAACGCACCTGCAGCTGCCGCAGATTTATAAGTGATTTAAGCTTTTGTCGAAAATGTATATCTATTCATAGTGCTAGAATTCAGACAAAAAGTAGCTACAGCCCTAGTCGAAACAATTATACAATTCTACATGAAAGGTAAAAGATATAGACAATATCACATACTATTTCCGAGCAATATGAAAAGATGAATGTTTTATGGAGTGTTGGTTCTTAATTCACGGAATTTTTAACTGTAGAATTATTTTTCATACATGCCATAGATAATGATTAAGGACATTTAAAACACTTACCCATCGGTGTACCTATCCCAAATCCTTTAGAATCTAGAAGACCACCAATTTGCATTAACTTGCAGTTCCTCTGCGTAATATACTCTATAGATGTAGATTCCATGAAGAAAGCATAATTTTCGTCCATAGTTCTCCTTATCCCTTCCTCCATAGAATTTGTAAACACACGAGGCTCTTTATTGTTCATAGAATTCCACATTTTTTGATACAGTTCAATGTTGGAATCCTGAAATAAAGTTGTACTTTTGAACTTGGTTGTTACATTATACATATAAGTAGAATATCTATTGTTGTATAAACGTGTGTAAACGGGAACAAAATGCAGATATGTGTCGACAAACTGACCCGTCATGAAACAACAGATAAAAAAAAACACAATCCATAAGTCTTTAGCTCTCAGTAATTTGCTTAAACCAACAACATCGATGTCAAAGCTGATGGAAATGTTCATGTGAATAGATTAACTGATAATTGCTTTGGAGTCTTTTTTTACTTTGTATCTAAAAACCAGAACATTTAAGTGTGGATCCATTTCTACTTTCTATATTCGTTACATCCATGTAATTGTAGTATGGTTGCCAGGTGGACACATTTTATGGAATACTTGACAACAGTGGTATACCAGGAATAATACTGTTACACAGATATTTGCTATTATTATTGTAGTTCCCATGTTTAAAAGCTATAGAGAAGGTGCGTAGTTGACATTGTGTCAACGAATAGGTAGAGAAGCTATTGATAATTGTCCTAGAAGTATATAATACACAAACAGTAACGTAATTTAAACACTGAATTCAGTAGACACCATTAAAAAAACAATAACAATGCATTTTGTATTCATAGCCTGTGTTGAGCCTGAAAACAGCATATGAAAAGTACGAAAGAGTCTTCGGTGTAATGAAATTTAGATAGTAGATATTGTTTTCTATTTTGTTTTAAATTCAATTCTGATTTGAACTATTGGTTAATTATATCATTCCATGGGTGTTACTGCTGCAATACGTACCTTAAAGAATGTCATTGTTGATCCTCCTTCTAACGTGCCATAAGAAATTTCAGTCTGCTTCGCTAAGTCCTCAGCACTTTCTATAGGAGAATCCATTCTCTCAACAGTCAAGAACGCAGCTAAATTAGCTGTGTACGAAGATATAATAATTAAAGTGAAAAACCACCATGTACCCCCTACTATCCGTGTAGACACAGCTCTCGGGTTAATGTCAGATCCTTGCTGCATTAGTGTCCCCACGGTAAACCAGAAACTGTTTGATAGGTTAAATGTATTTTGCACCGTGTCCGTTTCTGGGTTACACGGGTGGGGATTATACCACTCATATGGACTAAACCGTGCCAATACAAATATACTAAAGCTAACTAACAGATATGCTGCTATCACATATATCCATATTTCAATAGCCAGAGGATTTAAAAACGAGAAGAGTCCTGGTTTTTCTCGTTTTGGCATTCGAAATAAAATGCTGATTCCGAGGTTGAGGAATGGCTTTGTGAAGTCTATGGATTGCTCCCGCTCGTAACTGATGGTCAACGCTGCTACCGCAATGTCAGCTTTCTGTAACATCCAGAAATTACAAGTGAATAACGAAAGTGCCAACAAAGGTGTAGTTCTTAACACAAATTATGGCAGGAGGACAAAACTTGAACTTAAGAAGTATTACAATTGGAAATTGGTGACATGTTTGCGCCTCATTGACAACAAATCAGGTAAACGTAGTTTAAAAAATGCCGTGTTCTCAAAGGATTTTTCAGAAGATTCACAATAGAATAAATATGTAGTATACGCCATCATATAGTTGTTTCATAATTCCAGGATTCGTCAGTGGTGATAGGGGAATCAATTGTGGAAAATAAAACTTTGGAAAATCAATATAAGCAAAATAGGGAACACGATTTCCATTGTTCCATCTAGTTCGTTAAGTTTTAATAATGAATAATTTTGAAAGAAATAACCCCGTGAACATACGCTGATATGTGTAATGCATCCTAAAAATGACACTTAAAACACAGAATAAGGAACAATCGTACAGCCACCGTCATATCGTAAAAAAAGAGATCAATGAACATGTCACATTTCAAAATGAGATTAGGGTTACGATCGTTTTAAACTGTAATTTTATCTTGTCTTGTCTCTCTCAAAGTTCCATGTCGAAATTTTCCGTCAGCCGTTACATTAACATCTTGGCATTTTATTCAGTCATTTGTAAAAGACGGAACTGTAGATGAGAAAACCATATCAAAGTGTAATACATAATATAAAGTATCTAGGTATATACACAGATTACTATATCAATAACAAGTTGATTTGTGAAGAAAGCAAATGGAAATTAAGAACCATAACGCTTAGACAATCTAAATTTTATCCTTAAATTGATTGGTCGATTTTATTCCCTATTTTTGTGTTTGCTTTACTGTGTTGTGTCCGTGTAGGTCTCTTATAAAATCATACATAGTTGCTCCTCTCTCAAAACCTTTGATAAAGATATATTCTGCACACTGTACGCATTTTTAGTGAGAAATGTTTTTTTTTTTCAAATGAATGCAAGCATATATTCCTGTATCAATGAACGGAATTATAACTTGTCATAATCAGGTAAAATGGTATACAGCACGCACCATCAACGTTTGTGCTAAGGTAATGCATATATACAAGGGAGTTAACTCTATTCTCAGCCACCAAGCAGCTTCCTCTCTATATTAAAAACTTGAAAGAAATGGTAAAGTGAGACCTACTTCTCCACTTAAGTACTGCTTTCGGTTTATGCAACCATTCGACTACCATTGGATACACATACGGAAAGGGAGAATTTTCAAAACTCCGAACAAATGTTCCGATTACATCATATATATGTAACAACTTTTGCTCTCGATATTACTTGAAATGTCTGTTGAAACTGATCGGGATTCGTGTATACCGCTAATTAAGGCTCGTTGTTATCATGCAAATGATTAAAAATTCCTGGCTTCTTAATCATAGTCCATACAATGTACATTTGAATTCACATTGAACTCGTTATAACGGATTTATAAAGGGAATGCAGATTAATTAATTACAACATGTAAATAAGTATCCTATTTTACAAGTACCATTAAGCGTTTCAGCTTGAAGTGACGAAAATATCTTATTGCGAAACGTAATAAAAGAAATGAAATTAGCGTTTTCTTTCAACTAAAACCTAAGACAATGCGATTCTTTAAGACAATTACACTATATATTTAACACAGTTAATGAATCACCAAAAGGGAGCCAACATTTCAATTATAGTGAGGATTTACTTTTTCCAAACGAAGAGGTTGCAGGATGATTTTCGGACCTATTTTTGAGATATCATTACAGTATTACTTGTTGTAATTTACTGCAGAAAAAAGGAAATACTAGTTGTATGTTTTTTTTTTTTTTTTTTGAAAACCCATTTAACTCTCGAACTTGATGGACTAGTATATACAATATTAAAATTTTCAGTCACGGACACCCTAGGAAGAGATACGGAGAAAAAGAACAGGCGTTCCGTAAGGATAAGCGTATTCTTCTTATTGGTGTAATTTACCCTCTTACAATAAACAAGCAAAAGTTTCTTCAACAAATCAAAATATCTGTACTTACTATTTGATCCTAAGATCCTAGGATACTACTTGCATTTATGTTTTGAATGCAGAATGATATAAAAATCAGATGCATAATGTTTTCATACATTTAATTTTCAAAAATATAACAAACAAATAAAATCTCCGAAGGGTATTCGTGGATGGGATAAATTAACGAAACAAGATAATAAAGTTTATTAGTGTGCAGTGTTAATACCATGTACCACGTACCCGTTCCACCAGTTGGCCGATGACTCCGTTCCATTGACCATTATTCAGGACACCGTATTTGCCGTCTGGAACCTGTGTTATTTTGTAATCAAAGTGGACAATATCGGATATTTCTTTTAAGAGATCAACACAGAAACCTTCATAGAGATTATTGCCATACTTTTCCTGGTCAGGATCATCCTTTAATTCCTCTTTAATCATGACATACGGATCATCCTGCAAGACAAAACACATTACGCACTGACAGTCGTAGTCATAACCATCGCGTATCATGATGAAGATTTTAGACATGTAGTATTCCTGTAGTATACTGACTTATTACTAATAATAAATTGACATTAGAAATGAAATCCAAAGGGACTCGTTTAATAGCTGTGCCATTTGTGATTCTGTGAGACATTGTTATACCACATGTTGGATTCGTAGTATGAGTCCGGGAGTAAATGTTGTTTGTACTAAATGTGATAATTTAGTTCCGAAGGGTAACCGCTGCCTTCATCACATTTAACTCTCAATAGTTTAGCCTCAAAGAGTAACAATTAAAAAAAATGATCTTTATATGATATATAAGGCGCACTCAACAGTTTTTACTTCCAATGGTAACGGTTACATTCACTAAAAATGAAAATGAAAAAAGTATAACGGAGGATATTAAGAGGCTTCAGAATAGGTTGAATAAATTACATTTTCGTTATACATCAACGTTACATACTTTGGTCAATAGTTTTGTATTTTCTTTTCGTCAAACCATATTTGTCTTCTTGTGACCTAAACGAATTTCTTAAAAAATGCAATCCATATTGTGTATAGCGATATATAGAAATTAATCTATCAGTGCATTATTATCATTCGAATCAATATGTATAATTGGGTTGCTTAACGAACTGTGAGTGTGGAGTGATACATCATATGTACCCCGAGGAAAAAAATACCCATTTCGTTATGGCTTGTGAGTTTATCGGCAAATTCAATCGTGTCTTCCAGTACAGATTCTCTAGTTGACCGCGAAATGATGAAATTAAACTCGTTTCCGTTTCACACTGCTTTTCGTCTTTTGATCGCAAACACCCTCATCCATTGAAGTCGTCTTGTCGAGTGAAGGGAAAGCGTTTGCAATTTATCATCATCACATGGTAAATCAATCAATATCAGCGAATCACTGAAGCTTACCTATTATGTGTTGAGCTAACCTTTTACGTATTATCGAAAGTTGTAAGTCAAATTGCCTGTTTTTCTCAAGTGGCATTATCTCGTTGACATGTTTTGCAGATCACGCTGTCTCTATATTACAATTCTATACAGGAAGATTACTTAGTTACGTACCAGTACTGTAGTGATCACCAATGTTTTGTTACCCAGGACTCCCACCTGGGTGCTTTCTTTATAAGTAAAGTTAAATCCGCTCTCGTGCGTCCAAAACCCAGCCTGGAACAGAAATAAAAGAATATAAAGAAACTATGTTAGTAAACATATTGTGTAAAGCAATTTATCAGTGCACTAAACATACAAAAAAACAAAAAACAAAAACAAACAACAAAAGCACACACATATTTCGGGCATACTTCACGAAATTGAATCGAATTTTACTGCACTGCAATGGAAGCAAGATATACGGTCAAATCAATCGACGTTTTTGATGAATAACCACACTGGCTGTTGATACAGAATATAGGAAAAATCTTATATTTTGTAAAATGCTTTTTTTTTATGTTAGCAAGTCTTCCCACAAAGACAAACAGGCGGAAAGATTTTCTTGTATTGAAACAACAATTAGATTATCTTTGATCTTGTTTTGTATACAGACTGTCACTACCGCTGTAAATGTCATATTGCATTTTCATGTTTATATATAATACTTTGCATTACATATATATCTTGTGAATGATACTATATATCCTACTAAAAGGCATAATCTTATTAACATCATAGAAACGTAAAGGTTCCCTAGCCAACGGTTTAAACTAAATATAACATACATGTCAATAAGGTATCTCGTTAACAACAATTTGGTACTGATTATTGGAAACTGAAATAATGGAGACGGGTGTATATATATAAATTATCATCACCTGTTCCCTGATTTCAGTTCAGTTTTCTTAAAATGTTTATATAGTGCGCAATTTGTAAGAAAACTAACGTTTCTCTTAAATAAATTATCATAAAACACTACATCTAATCGATTTGTGGATGAAGGGAGCTGATTTGTCTTCTATATTTGGGAAAGAGCCACTACAGTTCCCTCAAAACATCGTTGAATTTATAAATACATGGACGTAACAATATTTTGCACGTAAATGCGAGCGGCGCGTTAAAATGGAAATATGTGCCATTTATGTAGTTATATATGCAGAGATTGAATAAAGCTACTTTCCCGCCAAGAAATGTAAATCTTGAAACTGCACTACAGCAAGTACCCATTTGATGGAAATAAAAAACGTACAGCCCAGAGACGCAAGGGAAATATAACGTTTGCTTAATAAAGAATCCTTTCCTTGATATGAAAATGGTATAAAACATTACGTCATAAAAACCTTTCCACCTTGCTATATGACAGAAGCGTGACATATTTATCTATCGTTGCTCATGGTACCAGGAGTAAAGAAATGCAATAATTTCTGAAATCACTAATCTAAATTTTCAACTAAGGCAAACTGCATTCATAAGTAGATGCTTTCTTATTCCCTTATACGAACAAATGATTGTATTTCCTTGGACTAGGATACTATATGAACATGTTTCAATCAACATTTGTATAGAATGGATTATGCGTAGTCTTTTATCGACTTCGTACAAAAATGGAATTACAATATCAGTTATTCCAGGTACATGCAAGGTACATGTAACACCCTGTTAGTAGTTTATAAGAAATTTAACAAAACTGCAAAAACAGCGCTTGTTCGGCTTTTTGTTGTCATTTCTAATAATAAAAAAGAAATTTGAGGATAGGAGGACAGAAATTAAATAACTTTGGTATTCTAACATTGCTATTGTTACAGTTATGTTTTGGTCGATATATGTTTTTTTCCCTGAAACAGAGAGTCAAGCAAGTGACATATTTTTTTTATTTCCAGATATAAATTCAAATTAATCTCTCATCGTGATGCTTCAATTCATTTCAAGAAAACGTTTACAAGATTAAGTTTCATTATTTTGAGAATCATAAATTTTGCCTGTGTATTCAATCTAAAGTTCATGACACTTACTTTGTACAGCCCTTTCTCATTAAGCTGCATCACGTCGAGTTTGAAGTCTAGTCTCCTGCCTTGCTGTAGCCTGATTTCCCCGGTGAGACCGCGTACATGTGACTGGAGATATAAGGGCGTTACAAGAACAGTAATAACATTGTGCATTATCAACAGACCTAATCTTGCCAAAACCGATACAAGTTCACGTTCTGATAATGATGACATGATAGCTATTACAAGATGGAATGACATTTGGTTAGTCACTAATGTGATATAATCAAATAATTAATCAAGACATTCATGCCCGTATTTCGATTTGAGAGAGGTAACAGAAAAAACAATGTAGAACCATAAACATTTTGGGGATAATGGAACATGCAATTGCAATGCCTGATAATCCATAAATGAAATTGTTCGTAATCTTCCAATACCTTTATATGACTAAAGTTTGTGACATGAAGTCAAACTTAAAATGATTATTTGCTTTCCGAAGAAGATCTATTCGTCACCAACAGTAGCAATGTACATAGTTTTATTAAGCTAAGTGCTACGAGTCCTGCCCTAAAACAGGAAATGAATTTAGCAAGAACCATTTGTCAGTCTTTAAGTTTGTGAATTCTTTTTTCATTCCGAAGAAGTCTTAAATCTGGCAAGTCAAGAGTATATGACACTTGGTAAGTTTAAATATTTTGCGTGCGAGATGATACTAAACATAAAATACCTATGCTGAATTATTTGTGCACAACATACTCCAATCCATGCATCTTCCCAAAAAAACTAAATAAAAATGACATAGTCTAGTATCATTTTCATACCTTCGGACACAGTAGCGAACTTGATATTGTTTAAAAAAAGACTGAGGACAAAAATGATATTTCATTATTTCGAATATTCATCTGATATCTAGAAGAAGGAAGCTAGTTTTGATCATTCTATATTGAATCCGCTGAATTTATTGGAAACCAATTACTAGCTTTGCATTCAACGCGGAGTTGCAATTTCCTGTTTAATCATCTGCAAACCTCTGTTGAGCAATTCAAGGCTGCAAAGCTCGTTTTTATAGTGGAACGTTGCAGGAAACCGTTAAGCTCTGTATATCATCCCGAAAACGGCGAACACTCTCAACAAAAAAATATTGACAAATTAAACAACTGAAGCTAGCGTGTAGCAGTTCGTGGGATTTGTTGCGAAATAAGACATGTGTTGTTCGCATGTTATGGCCTTTTCAAGTATATCTAAAGGAGAACTCGATTGGCAGTATATTGCAATGGCCTTTATTGCATGGTTACTTTGGTAACGGCAATTTGACCAAATAAATGAGGACTGTTGTTTTTCATTTAAGATTGCTTATATGTTGAAGTTGGTTTAATCTTCATTGCTATTGCATTTTCTTTACAGTACAGTGTGCTACCGAGGGCTGTAAATGTATTGTCCAGAATTGCGACATATTGCTGATAGGTATTTACATTGATCATAACTGGGTATCCACATTGGTAAGTAATGATTGCCGATGGCCGTAGTGTGCACAATATCATATTAGCTGTAAAACGATGGTGATATTACTGTCTGCACGACTAAAATTACAATGACGATGTTCCTGTTTCGTTTGTAAATGGAAAAAAGAACATCAGTGATGCTCCTTTCTTTTTGAGTTCATCTTGCTGATGGATATACTTACATCAGCAAGAAGTTATCAATACAAACGGTGAGGCTATTTTCAACGTTAATTAATTGGTTAATTATTATTCATTCGATAAATGTCCTGTTAGATAATACTTACCATAGTAAGAAATTCGTACAAACTACTGCCTGTCGGCCAGAAGTAGTCAACATCACAAGAAACATTCACTGGTCGGAAAGCAACACTTCTATCCATTTCCTCTAAAGCTTTAGCAAATAGCAGCACGGCATCAAACATTAGGGCTGACTCGTACTGAATAGAAAAACAAAGAAAATACCGACAGGTCAACAGAATCCTTTTCCAAACTCAATAGCTATGACATCAGGGCAAAATATGAAGAAAAGACAATTTACAGAAGATTAAGATAAAGTGCTCCGGCGGAATAAGCGTCTTTTGCATTATCGATGATATTCGCAATATAAATTCTTTACCATCCAAATAATGCCATGTTTCTAAATGAGAACAAGGTAAACATCAACGGAATCACCAGGTAAATAACAAGGATCAAACACATGTGACTTTATATCGCACGATGAAAAATATACTATTTTCCAATAAATTCATCATGGCGGCCATAATCTTAATCAGCCTAGATCTCTTGAATCCCTGTGTCGAGAGTTGCCGACATGTTTCATGAAAATTGTAATCTAGGGAACAAATCCTTGAACATAGAATCAACGGCAACATGGAAATACCGAAGCTTAAGTATACAGGCAGTCTAGGTGAAAACTGGCCCCATTTGTTTCGTTGTAGGAAAAGGTCGAATTAAGCGGCTGATGTAGAATACGAATACAAGTACAACTTAAACTTACTCTTGGTGAGGACTTTTGTAGGTGAAATATGTATAAGACGTCTGTACCAGTGTCAAAGATACAGACTGTAATAAATGTGCCTCATATACAACCTATTTATGTATGAATAATATGTTCGATATGGTATGTTACGTGTACAGGTAACGAGCAGTTTTATCATGTGTATTCATCCGTGGTATTACATCCTTCACGTCTATTTTCTGTCGATAAGTATATCAACGTCTATGTTATCCAGGTTATGTTCACATGTGTATAAGACCAGTGGTCACAGGCCGAGGGTCTTTTTTTTATTTCGCTGCGCTACGACGTGGTCGACAAAGTAATTTACCTTATTTTGAAATTTGGATATCGCTACACTTGCTGATATAGAATTGCCAGCATAACGGGGAACATGGGACGAGCGTGCGACAGGGTATTGGCGCGGCGCAGAGAATGCCAAGGAACGCCAGGAGCGCCAGGCAAGAAGCGCCGACGTAGTTGCCGATTTAGTGGTCCCCAGTAATTCCGTATCGGAGTAGCAGCTTCGGCCACATGTACCAGATGTGCGGGGGAATATGACCGATATATTTGTATATATATTATACCTACATTTGTCTACCGCATTGAGTATGCAAAAAATCGTAATTGTACTGTTACTGGTCATTTGTATTATTTACGTTTGTGGAAAAGAACCGGAGGAAAAACGTTACAAGACGAATTCAAGTAAGCCTAAACATCCTTTACATAATTAGTCGAAAATATCATATTGTGTTCATGTCTAGTCATTGGACATTCAAATAAATCAGACTTGTTTACATTGTGTTATGTCTTTTACCCTGAGCTATATCATACTTGAACGTCATAAACGCCATTCCGCACCCCTATCCAAATAAATCGCTCCCAATCGATACAAGTAAAAAATTAATTAGGAACAGATCGCATCATACATCAACATCTATCACCGGTGTATACATCAGCCTTGAGTCCTGGCAGTAGGGATATGTTTTAGGTTTTAATATAATCTTGTTTCTTATCAATATTCCGTGACAAATGAAATATTTACCCCGTGGCTAGAAATTTGTATGGCTGATGAATGAGTTGGATACGACCCTCATATAAACAATAAACATGGAAAATATTTCTGTATAGATGTTTACTATTCATGATAAAAACAATGGCTTCATTTATAAATGCCTTAGGCGTATTCTTCCATCTCCTGTTCTTAAATCAGCGATAGGAATCATAACTGAGTAAAGCAAGCACATCAAGTGATGGGATGAGATAATATGATTAGCACAGTGCGATCAATTAAATTTGGTAAACGGCGGCGAAGTATTTTTCATAACGGCATATACACATATAAATTGATCATTCAAACAACAATATCATACTTTAATAAAAAAAATCGAAATAACTTAAGACATAACTCTGAAAACACAATATATGTTTTATCATATCAGTCAATCCGTCACAGAATATATTTCAGAAAAGCTTTTTCGTTAACATACAAAACCACATTTAAAAAGAAATAAACGCAAAGATGTATTATTCTTATCAATAAATTCACTGTTAACACCATCTTTATTTATAGCTTTAAGGTTTCTTTCTTCATACCCTGCCGACTCCAGCTGAAATTGCAGCTTCATCAGACAACATTGAAGAGTGCCAGTAGGTACATAACTGTTCAAAACTACTTCTTGAGAGCTGTGTTTAATAAACATGTTTTACGAAATGATCTTTAAAAGCAAAGTGAAAAAACTAAATAAACAAATATTGTTATTCAAACTAAACAATTTGGTGTGTTTTAAGTCCATTTCAGACTCTAGAAATGTAGTCATTCATAGAGAGCAATTGCAAAAAAGCAAAATTGATATATTAGAAAGGAAATTAACTTCAAAAATGCTTTATCTAAAACACTGGGTGCTAGCGATATTTTTAAAAGTACACAGGGCTTTAAGCTAGTTTGCGTCGATCACAATACCATGCCGACATAACGTCGACTTTACAGATCATTGTTGTATGATCCCATATACCACGTATATCAAAATGAAATAAAATGCTGAGCAAACTGCATCAGCCGTCAAATGAAAAGACTGGAGAGTTCTATTGATTTTGTGTATTTTGACAATGGCTCCGCTCTCAAGACAATAACTGGAATACGAACGCATTCATTATATTGGCATCATTTCTAGCCAGCGTACGAAAGTCAGAAAAGACAGACAACACAAGGTCCCTGGTGCGAAAGGCCAATGCCAAGTGTGAAAGTGTAAATATCTGACTGGTATTGTTAGGTTTTTTCTAGATGTCCACTGTTCTGAGATAATGACGTTCCAACGGGACACGCATGCTCTGTTTATGAAATCGATACCCCTTCTGCAATTGGTCATGGTTATAGCTACATTCAGCCTGAAGAAATTCTTATCGCCTCAGCAAACTCTAGATACAGCAGTCCACTTACTGGTACATACATCATATCCAAAAGGATCTGGCGTGGACTGAAGCGAGCGTTAGAACTGCTCTATTGAATACGAGGAATCGGGTTGCATGGAAATTCTCTTTCAAATATATTGTTTACAATAGATCTATTCTATAAACAATGTTTTTGCGCATTAAAGATATTAACTTCGTGTTAAAATTCAATTTTCCATATGAAATTAAGTAATATGATAATACCAGATCAATAGACATTTGTCTACAGGGATTTCTAAATAGACTTTAATGGGCATGTCATGAACAATCTCGGTCAATCCATATATAGAACAGTCACATTATATCGTGGTTTATATCATATCTCCTTGAACATCGTTGTACTGTGTTATTGATATTTCATGTGTAATATTTAAACACCAAACAAGCCTTTCTGTACTTAGTATTTCGTGAAACTTATGTGATTAGTTTCTATTTAATCAGAAATATATTTTCCTATTTTTCATGGAAGCTGCGTGTAATATTTGTCATAAACTGATATACCCAATATCTTTGAAGGATCAAGTAAGTGTTTGAATGATAACAAAAATCCTGAATAGAATAAAAGCTTTTCTTCTACATACTGTTATATCTATGTCATATCAACATAATTTTAAGGAGTAAGAACTAATTGCTTCATGATGAGAAGTTATATCTGATAATGAGTTTATCGAGAATTATGCCTCTACATTAGTATAATCAATTAAACCATTTTAGGTCTAGTTCGTTGCATGGAATTTCAAATGCGGATATGTGTACATTGCCAAATTCGAACTAAAGACCACCAGTCTGTCTAAGTATTCATTAGGTCTCCTAGATCTTTGTACATGTCACGATATATCTGCGCGTATTGCTGATGCATGCCTGCTTAATTTGAAATTGGGAAATGCGATCGCCTCACAAAACATGCCGCCGTCCATTCATTGATTGAATTTAAGGACCGATTGATATATCTTAGACCAGACATGTTACTGCTAGTAAAAGTTCCATTTTTATTGCGGGAACGACAAATCTCCTACTTCTTCGTTTAAACTGGATGAAAACCTGAAAATAACACCATCATATCACATGATCCATACATCATGCAGGACATCCTGGTTATCACAAGGGCCTATATGATGGTGCTGCATTAGCTTGCTGCACTGAGTGACAGTCCCTCTAAAATACTATTTCGCTTTCGTCCATAATAGCTTTATCGCGCACAAATTAAATGACTATGACAACTGATTGCCGAAAAGGCCATGCGTGGAACATGACTGATGTAGAGCGTATTAAATGCACTTTTCATTTACATAGTAAACATGTAAAATAAACGCACTACAAATAGGATGAGCTATATGTTGTCTACCTACCGGTATGGTCCGCTCCTTATTTTTGACGTCGTTAATAAGTTTGAGCTGTGTGTTAGCTTCATACACATACATGTCCTCAATAATTTGTCGTGTGAACTCATCCTGTGGATCCACCAGTCGAAATCCTGTCAGATTCACGTAGTTGTGTTTGTAATTTTCTAGCTCTATCGAGTCAATATCCTGGAAAAAATCACACCAATAACATCTCACTCATAACAGCATTGGCATATCATAGTGAAACCATAATATCTTGAATATGGCAGAAACTCATTGGAAAATGTAAACATTCTTCATCCGTTACCTACCATTTGTGATATGTCAGTAGTTCTTAATTGTTTCATCATCTATAACCTTTAACAATATGGAGGCATTTTCAAGCTGATAGGAAAATATTGCCAGGTTTTGACGCATAATACTGTTGTGCTAATTCTAGGAATGGACATACAAGACTATCGTTGTTATGGTAAGACTCTCATAAATTATTCAGCTGCCGCCTCCGTTTGAAATATTCCTGTGCCCACGTGAAGTCCTAATGAGAAATCTTTACCTAATATGGTATCTAAGGAACATATGCAATTATATCTTGATATGAATTTAACATTATCTTTGAGGGCCACATATATTTATAATAGATATATCAATTGCTGCTATCATGAACTAAAAAACGTTTACATTTCGATTGTTAAAGACAAAAAAGAAATTTAGTTTTGAAGTAGTAAGATACTATAAGAAATGCATTGCAAAAGTTTTGGGACAGGTTATCATGATCTCATAGATAAAGAGGTAATGTTCGTTATACTTTACGTCCATATTTTGTATCACATCAATAAAATCATATAGGATATTTCTCCTCAAGAAAATAATATCGTATGATATGAACGTATTTTACTGTAACTTGATCTATTTACGAAAATAAATATCTATAATTTAAAATTTTCAAATGGAAGAAATATATGCATATACATTTGAGGATTATTTTCATGCAGAAATTTAATAAAAAAAAATATGTCTGCCATTGTTTTAGAACTGATTACTACTATTTTTCAGCCATTACCAAAATCAGTGTTTTCCTTCAGTACCAAGTCGTTGTCAAAGTTAACCATGAGTTATTTTGTACGGTCCTTAATGCAGTCAAGGCGGATGTGTCATTATGGTGTTTAACACAATTTCAAGGTTGAATCAGTGATAATGGTATTTTTGGTCCAACGATATAATTATCCGGCTAATTTTGATGATAGGCCTCATTAATGGTAATGTGATTTTAGTTCTGTGGGAAATCCATCAGGAAATTATATCAGTGATATTTCAGCCAATGTAAATCACATGCAAATATAGCTGTGATTAAACCCGTCCCTAAAACAGGTGGGACTGAGACATATTACGACACTTCATTAAATTTCTTGTTATTCTTTAGTGAATTTTCTATTTTTTGTTTGTTTTGTCTTTTTGAAGTAAATTATGGGAAAAAAAAGCCCTAATGAAAGGAATATTTAAAAAAATAAATGTTACATACTATATACTCTGAGACGTCTGATGAATTTCTTGTTACAACAGTCTATAAAACCTACTTCTCCTGAAAAAAGATGAGAAGGCTTGAACCGGACGTTTACGATTGAGTGATAGTTGTTTCGTTTGTTTAATTGCATCCCATGCTTAATGTGCCAGGTGTTATTCTGATAAAATAAATTTATTGACACTTCAAATACATATGTTTATCATACAGTAAATCTTAAAGAAGGGTTTTTTACCGCTATCACAGGCTAACGTTTTATATTTTCATCTTTACATTTAGTAACCAAAAGAACGTTAACGACGGAGAGGATATGATAAACAACGTATCACCGGCCATAACGATACACCACGGCTCTTCAAGGCATTACTGAAGGTCATTAATATTGACATATTGACCGTTTTCCTGTATGTACATGTAGTTACTTAAACCTATAATTTTACGGATACATCCAGGGGGACCACATTGGATATGCACAACTATTTCTAGAAGATAAAGATAAAGTATTAATCTATTCCACAAGCACTTACCAGCGTTGTAAAAATGTAGTGGTGATATGGATCTATCATGCCTTCTTGAAGAGCCTGTAAGGAAAAGGTCCATCAACATATAAGTATTCCACTACATCATGTATACAGTTATGCAATATAGGGATTGTCTATAGTAATCAATGCGCTTAAAACATGAACTCAAGAAAGTATTGTGCAATAATTAACAAATAAAAAACCTTGTTGTAGAGATGGAATTCCGATACATGTATACTTGATTCATAAGTTGGGATTTATTTGATGTCTATTAAATCTTTAACGGTCGTAATTTATGTCGGCAAAGTTTGTTCAAGATGACATATCTGACTTGTTATATACATATATATATATATATGTTTGAACAATACATGTGCAATGGCTGCACTTGAAACAAAAAATACGCTTGTTTTAATTGTAACCAGTGCACCTTTTCAGACAGTGTTTAATTGAGTTATTGTTAGGATCTTGAAGTGTATTAAATAATTCAAACTAACATAATCTGGATTCTTTCTTCATATTGCTCTTCTCTTCAGACTGTGCTTGATAGAAGCTTTCAAAATATTATTTCACGTCTCTTTTGAGTCGATGTAGCCATTTTCCCAACTTGGTTCTATTTATCATGACGTCATGATTTTTTAAAGTTCAATACATGTCAGTTTCATGTTTAAGTCTTGGTATGTGTATTGTTATTGTATTCTGAAACCAATTATTGCATATTGGCACGTGAGAATTCTTAATATCACAACATCTACATTGATGGATTCCAGTCATATATGTTATCATTGTGCCACGCTATATATTCTATATCTTACTTATGCTTTTTATGTTTATGATGTGGTATTTTCGTTTATTAAATATATTATTTTTGAAAACAATTGCATTTTTTTCTGTTTGGTACACTGAAATTGTATTAAAGAAATAAATCTGTATGCTTAATGTGAAATGATACTGAAATAAACAGGACGTTTTTCATTAATAAAACAGACTTATGTACTTGCTAGATAAAGTTTTATCATAAAACAGATGTTTCTCACACCTCTTGCTCTATCGGTTACATATTCATAACTGCTTCAAGTTTTAGTCTAAACTACCTCTAAATCGTCATGATAGCGGTATCAACATGTAATTTATGATATACAGAGTGATTGCTAGATAGTATCAACTTCATATACATTCATACATATTCCATTTCCGCATCATTAACATCATTAAATAATGAACACTGAAACAGTTGTTCACTTCGTTTTTGATTTTCATTTTGAAGACAGCCGCATTTGTCTTTCATATTGTGTTTTGTATGGAATTCGAATGATCCGAATATCGTCTATCCGGAAAATTGTTTGCCAGACAATTGCTTGCCAAACACTATATACCAATAAGTCTTCAACAGTGAGTTCGGTCAGTTTATCTAGACTGAAAAGAAGTCGTCGTTGTAACTGTATATCAACGTTACTGATTGCATTCACGAATATTAACTGATCGTATTGTGTTTTGAATTTCGTGATGCAAAGATACAATATCAAAGTAACATATCTAAACCTTAGCTTTACTTCATTTCCATTATACCTCCACCATCCATATCCTTCCTTGAATTCTGTCATACATGTATTGACATCTCTTCTAGCTACATTCTAATCCACACGTTATTCTGACCTCACGCCATGACTAGGCACTATTCCCTATCTGGTTATGTCACTTGACCTATGTCATAACCTACCCTAATTTCGTTATATTCACCCACGCAATGTTTTGTCGTTATAGGTTTTCTATCTCTCAGTTTAGCTGTCTTCACTGAATGTCTTCTTCCTCTCAATGTGTCGCCTTTCCTCCTCCGCTGAGTTCCCTTTACTCAAAATCTGGCAAAAACCTAATTGGGTTTTTTTTTGTCGACCTTGTCATCGATTGGTACATGAACTCCCTTAGCACACCTAGCCTCTGATCTAGCCGCCAAATTGATATAATTCACAATGGTGATTTATTTTGCTTATTGAGTCAACCACCTGCAAATTATAACCTTGTGTTGTTTATCAAGCTCATCACACTGGTAAGTTAAGTAAAATACATTGTACATTCCGGCTCAAGAGTTTCTCGCTCGTCAAACCTATACGTAACTGGATATCTAAATGCTGTTATAAATCCCACAGGACTGTAAACATTAAAGTTAAGCGAAAACCATCATGAAGAATTGCTAACTCAAGCATATGTTTAGAATATCTACATTCCAACACATGTTGGGGAATTCTCTGATATATGACTTCTTGTTCTCAGCTTGTTTAAAATCAACGGTTAACCAGCACATCATCTGTCATGAAGAAACACAACGTCCATCAAAGTGTTAGACAGAATGACAGAAAGTTGTTCTAGCTTGATCTCTCTCACTTGCCTAATTTCAATCACATGAATAAGATGGGGAATATTTGGACCGCACTTGGATTGCCTGGTTCGCAAGGAAATTACGCAGAGTGACACATAGAAAAATATTGGCAGACGACGTAACATATTTTCATAAGACATTAAGTACTAGTTTATGTCTGAAATGAGAAAACTGCGGCGTTAACGATATTTTTATATGTTCAGTCCCTTTCATCTTTTTCATGTAGCTCCGCACATACATTGTTCAAATACAGGCATTAAAATAGTACTGGCAGGATATTGTATATATGTTTCCGTCCCGTGTTTAATTATATCAGACACTAGGTGGTGTTCCCATTACATCAGCAAACTGAAGGTTATACTGGCGTCGTTTATATGACATTAATATTAGTTATAAATATTACATCGGTTACTCCCAATGTTCTATTTCCGAGAGTTTATATTGTTTGGATACTGATGGTGTCGATAGGGAGGGGTTAGGTGGTGCATTGAAGCATCCTGCCTTCTGCAATTGGGATACATAAGCATATGAATGCCAACGAGTTAAGGATAACTTCAGTGCAACGTACCACGTAGTTGCCGATATTTGGTTTTTCGTTTTTCGTTTTGGGGTTTTTGTTTTTTGAAAGAAAAGCTAATAAGTAATTATTTTGCAGGTATTGAATATATGCTGTTGTTGCATGTTACTAAAAAGTAGTTTGAGTGTATCTCAAAAACACATCATTTAAATGTATTTGGAAAAATAATGAACATTATGAATGTGTATTATACATGTACTATAGGGAATGTCTAAAGAGCATACATGCTGTTTCAATGGGCATGGATAGCATACAGACTGGTTTCAATGTATCTAAATGTCAGTCATATTTAAATGTAACCAAGTAACATACAATAATGATTTCAATGCACCGAAATAACATACAGGCATGTTTCAACTTCTCTAAATAGCATAAGAAAACAATTAAATAAATGTTTGGAACATAAAATCATACTCCCTTAAAAGAACTAATAGGGAAAAAAATCTAAAAGTTTTCATGTATCAAAATACTGCACAGACATGTTTCAACATATCTTAATAGCACAGGTCAACACTTAATTGTGGTTAGATGAATCTGATACTGTGGAAGTAAAGGGCATTAGCCAATAAGACAACAGGAAAATACAACCGCAAAATAATCCTTACTCTTTGGAAATAAAGGTATACTACTTTCTACTTTGAGATTGTGCTCTACAAATTAATGTCTGCATCAGTAAGGAAATACGATAAATGAATATATACGAAATAGATACTTGAAGCAAATGTGGTTGGATTATCTAGAGGAAGTAGGTGTAGGTGAACAATCTCCTGTGATTGAAAGTTGATAGATATACCACAGGGAGAGGATTATCTGTGGGGAAAGATTGTGTCTGGATAATGTACGGCGAGTAAAAGTTTTACTAGATTTTCTGAGACGGAATAGAATCGGTTGTATTATATGAAGGGAATGGCAGCGACTGAACTACATCCTGGTAATGTGGATAGTTAGTTGACCATAAAGGAAAGTACCAATTGGCTAGGAACATACCGGATGTATTTGATGTTTGTAAAGTTACCATAAAGATAAAGGTGTTAGGTGTATTTATTGTATTTCAACTCATCTGCAGGGATGGACATGGAAGCCACTTATTGGTGTCTAAAAATAATGTTACTGACAATATTACTTCATGAAAATACAAGAGACTGTATGATGCCCTCGGAATGATAGAATGAAAATCTTATTGTTTTCAAAACAGAAAAAAAACATGTATGTATTATGCTATTGTACTTTACGGCATTAATTTTATCTTTTGGTGAAGATCATTGATATTTGTAGCTGATTTAAGGGTGTTGGAATCATACGGAACGCAAACTATTAAATGCTTATCCATGACATTATTTATTATTGCGAAAAACTTGAAATGTTGAATGTGTTTTAGTTTACCCAAATATTTGGTTATTTTTTTTTTAAATTTACTCAAAGTTATTGATTAAATTTTATTTATCATGACAGCGACATTCATATACAAACTGATAATATGCATTTAATACAAATTTTCCTTACGATTTTTAAAAGAAGTCCTGTTCCAGTTGCATTCATGTCGACTATCATATTGGTCCAGTTTTTCTTCTTTGCTTCTTTTAGAACTTGACGCATGTTGGTTCGGTCTGCCTGTCGTATATAAACATTTTTGCTGGGCTCCTGAGATACACTTCTTAGAATATTCTGCATTTTCACCAACCCTGCAACGGAAAAGGCTACCTTTTCAAGATGTAACGATCAGAAACACTTTACAGAACAGTTTTCTGAAGATACTGGTTCAAACTATTAGTTGAATCAAGAATGGGTATACTGTTTACAAACTTTGATTTTGGTCCATGATATTTGATGCAAAATTGGGTCGTTGTTTGTTGAATACTTAGGGGAAATCGATTTGGGCTTATTTCACACTAATCGTGTATCCAATTCTCTCTGTGTCAAGTATATCAATTTATGTATGCATGCCATGATCTGCAGGTTTTCGATTGGTTTTGTTTTGGTACCAGTTTTTGTAAAAACAGATAAAAACTGGTTAAAAACAGTTTGCAAGATTAGGCACAAAACTAAATGTCGGTTACCTTGTTTCATATCACGTTTTAATTCATTTAAATAGTGGCACAGATTAGAATACACACATGTACTTGACGTTCTGAAATACATGGGAATTAAGAAATTAACTGAGTTTAAGGTCATTGAACTTCCCCATCTAGGTTGTGTCATTATTTTTGATCACTTAAGGATTTTTCACAGTCGCCTCGAGGCTTCAATATTTAAACACTTAGCATCACTGATGAGTCCTCAAAGAATGCAACAGCTATATGATGCAGTTCTTCTATTTAATTCTTTGTTCGCTCTAATGTTATTAATCTAAATTTGTATCAAAAGTTGCTATTTACTTGTGTTTCTTGTACAATCATCTTGATGACTTACCAGATCATAAAACGAACTACTACGCAGCTAAAGATGATGATGAATAACGATGGTACCAATGATGAAATGCGTCAGAAGATTTCGTATTTGTTTCCAATCACTTTAACTTGGACTTTTCTTTGCAATATTTTTATAATAAAAGATTAATTGTTAATGTGTAATGCTTGTTTATCACTAAATGTTTACTCCACAATACGCAACTAAAATTTATAAAATTGATGACTTGCTAAATTGTATTTACAACAATATTTACAACACATACAAAATATTTCTATCAAAACATACCATTTTGCTTACACAAAATATGCATATCATTGTAGCTTATTTCTACCGAATATAAGTTTTTATTGAATTGAACTTAACATACATCTCGCAAATTTCGAACTGATAAACATGATTAAGAAGGTTTACAAGTATAAGATGTTAAATAAAAAATGGAAAGTATTAGATACCTTTTATTCCTATCATATTCCAAATTTATATTCTAATTAGTATCGTTGACTACGTGAAGTAAGCTGTCTTTATCATTAGCATAATATTCTCCAACCCTGTATTATCTTATGACATTGTAATTGTCAATATGGATTTGCTTCATAGATCATGGAAGCACCTCTTTTATCATATACACACACAATAGCGTTAGTCAGACCCAGAGTTACTCATTCCCTTCGTACATCTTGGTGTTATTGACAAGATGATCCAGAAGGTATAACCGATGACATGGTTCTTTCTGGGCTGACTTTACCCATGTGGTGTTGAATCTCTCAAAGTCGGATAGTGAAGACATAGCTATTTTGTTGTTTCAGTTGGACGATGTGAGTCTTTAAATAACGTAAATATATCAAAAGTGATGTCTAACTTCAGCTGAAATGAAGGACATTGCAACTATTCTGTACCAGCTGCTGAGGTCGACCTGAACTTTCCAACTGATTAAAATAACTGATTATTACTGAAATGTGAAATGTGGTAAGCTCGATTGTTCGTGTCCCTGTAGCATAGTGATATCTTCATCACCAGCCGCCTACCTACAGTGTTTATTTGTCATTGTTCCTTCGATAATCATCACGTGCTCCGTTTGACAACACATGAATTTTGAGATTTACAGCTCTTTGAATGTAGATACGTCTGCAGCAATGTCGCTAAATTCTACCATACGCCCGAAACGTACTGTAAAGTAACATGTTTCCGTGGGACTCAATTTTCGTTGTTTTTGTTTACCAAAAAATTGCTTAGTTGTGGTTACTTGATTTTCGTGGATACATAGAGCTTAATAAGTCTACTTATACTACTTTTTACAGTATACGCTATATAGATAAAAATATGTGTACCGTATACTACATTAAGTATACAGAAGAAAATAAGCTGGTTCTTTAAAAAGATAACATCATTAATGAAATTATCCGCACTATGGTGATTTGTATATCTAAATAATACAACCGTTCTTTACTTTTTCAATGTAATCTTCACATATATGGAGTATTGTTAAGGATAAAAAACATGTTGTAAGATGGATTTAATCAATATTGACAATAGTTCATTTTTGGGAAATAAAAGATAAGCTACTATTTGCGGTGACGTTTTCGTCTTTTACTTAAATTGTTCAGACCGTTATGATATTTGCAATCATATGTTCCATGATGTCTCGTTTTGGTTTCATTAATAAACTAATGTTTCAGAGAATATCAGTTATTCTGTGCATGATGATATTAAAAGTCACAAATTCTGCATCATTGTACACTAATAAAAAAGTGAACCAGGTTTTAAACAGATATACGCCACATTTTAACAGAAATGATTAATTGTATGACCTGGAAGTCAAGTGTCTTACTTTTCAAAAGTCGTTCAACCATTAACTTCTCACTGGTGATTACAAAGATTTAAATTGTGAAGCTTAATGTCCTGATACAATCGTTTTATAAACTAAATTTATAGAAATGATTTTTTCGCTACGAACGCAGGCACTGACAAAAATTAACCTTCAGTTATACACCAAAAACAAAGATGAAAATGCACTGAAAAATAATATATGGTGAACGTTGGTGAAATCTTATCAAAACTACTTATTTTACCGTCATTTTACGTCTATCTCAACAAGAATCCGCGGCTCCGAATGCAGTTAATAGTCAGTATAACTCAGTGTGTTTAGAACTATGACCCATACAAAACAATTTATATCTTATCACTAGAGATAACATGTAGTCAAGTTGACTCGCTGATACAATATTTTTAACGCCAACTCACAACGCTGATGTATGTAGGTATTGCATGAGAGCTGCATAGCCTCTAATCTATCATACAAGTGATATTTCATATAAGCTGGGAATCGTAATATATTTTTTCTTTGTCAAATGGGAATTAATGACCTTATGCCACAATAATTGTATTCGAAACGTATACAACGCTAGAGCCCATTACGGCGAGTAGTGATGTACCCTTGAAGGGCTTACCTTCCTTTTCGCCGTAAATGATGAGCAATTCCTTCATTCTGTAATATTCAATTACGGCCTGATATGCCTGTGCTAATTGCTGCGCGTTGGGGTGTAGGTTAATGGAATAGCCCTGAGGCGGTTCCATGTTCCCGTCCTCCCGGAACTCGATGTGCGGAATGTGTAGAGCAGAGCAGAGAGAATTCGTGAAAGAGGCAATGTTGTTAGATCGAGGACCAAACAGGGCGGCGGTGCTGAGATGTACCTGGCTACACACTGAAACATATAGACATGAAATACCAGATAAGCCCATGGTTACGTAATAACAGCATTAACTTAAACATGTTGCACAGTCTTCTGTGTTTTGATATGATTTAGATCGTTAAAATAGGATGGCAAACAATATAATTTAAAATACATATCTATAGAAAAGACATATCTACAGATCGCAATATTATTTTAAAATGTTGATACAGTCGTCATTAGGTAGAATATTCACCATTGCCTATCTTGTCATATTGCCTACAATGCTTAAGAATACAAATATCACCGCTCCAATTCCATCTATGATGGTTGTTACAAAACGGATGACAAGGGCTCGAGAATGTTAATAACTTGACGTGATGTCAGTAAACGTTGTGTCAATCAAGCATTTTACAGAATAATTAGCTAAAACAGTAACTAAAATTTGAAATGTTTTCCTGTAGAACGATGGTGAATGCACCAATGCAATCAGTCAATCAACTTTAGTGCTCTAACTAACCTGTCTGGGAATTGAACAAATGCACTGAAATGGCCAATAAAACCGACAGGATGTGGAGAATCGTTTGTCTACAAACCGCAAGGGCAAACACTCTAAGCCGCCTCGTCGTAGACATTAATTGACTTGGATGTTTACATCATAATAGAGCTAGTACATAAAGCACCCGTAGATCGGAAAGGTCAACCTCATGGTATGTCCCTGTATCGACGAATGAGTAATCAGAAGTGACATCCCGCATCTCGACGCAGTGTAGGCGAGAGTCGTTTTCTAATTGTTACTTATGGCTGACCGAGGAGGCCTTCGGAATTGTTGTCGTTTTAGGACTCTTTAAAATGCTCTAACAGTGGAATTGCTGGTCATTACCTTCAGCGGTCCTATGCACCTTGTCTTTTCTCAGTATAAAGAAAGTTTAAACATGAATGTTTTAACAACGTGCATACGGGTCAAGTTGATTACCTATATGTACGTTACCACAAGTTGGAACCCTATACGATATCGTGTGTTCTATTTTTCTAAATTTGAATGCATTACAGTTGTTTCCACAGCAACGAAGTTACATCATTCAGTATCATGAACGAGTGTAACATTGTCTTCGCAATATTTCCATCTTTGTTCTTGATGTTTAGGTGTCTTTTGATGCTACTTGCCCATATGTCAACATTCGAGCTGTATTTATTGTGTTACTATCATATATATATATACTAACACTGGCATATGAATCAAACACATGAAACTGCAACACTGTGAGAAATTTGTATGCAACGTTGTATTTCTTATTCAAAATCTGATAATTATATTCACTGTTTTACTATTAATCAAGTTCGTTTTGATTGCCTACGATGGCAAAAAAACAAATCAAGAAAATACCAACATTGCAACATAATCATAATTCAAACTCAGACTCCATACAACTAGGGCAAAGAATGAACAAAAGGAAGATTTACAAGGAGAATAAGATCAGGTGTTCCGGAAGACCAAGCGTTTTCTGCTTCATCGAAGACATGCGCAATGTAAACGTTGGCGTCATCAATATATCTTAAGGTGAAATTAACCGACTATGCATGTTTTCGTGACCTGTTCTGATAAGGTCTTCCTTAAATTCAGCCCCGTATGAAAACAGAAAACAAGTCAGCCGACAGAGGGGCGGTATTGGTTCCCATAGACGTGGCAATAGTCTGTTGGAATATCTTACTACCAAACACGACGAAGATATTGTCAACCAAAACCTTGATCATTTCTATGATTTCGTCCTCCGTATATTTCTTCTTTGATTTCGACGTACGTTTCAATAAATATGATTCAGTATAGTTCACAACCATATTTTTATACCACCGCTCATCGTACTTTGAGAACACAGCTATCATAACGAGAGAACGAAGGCGTTCCTTCACTTCGGAATGGGGTATGGTAGTGTACAGGGTGGAAAAATAGAATATATTTGTAGAAAGAAATGTTTTTTAGAAGATGGTGTTGAAGATTAATGAAAAGCTCCTTGGGGTTCTTCAAAATCCACATACTATTAATACCACATCTTTAGTATAAGATTATAACCCAGATTTGATAGTACTTAAAACGGTGGTTGGTAGTTTAAACAAAGGCTTGATTGAACGTTTAGACGAGCCAGCTATAAAACTTTGTTTATGTGGAATCTTGTGAAGTTTAGGGATCCAATATTTACGGGGAATGTCCGTATCCTTATCATTAATAGGCAATCTATATGATTGTAATACGGAAGCATGATTAGCTAGCATTTTCGTCTTTTGTAAGATTAATATTTCCCTCGTTATCACGCAAGCCCAGTTCTTTTTGTATACAGGAAAAGTAAAAATGATTGCAGACAAGGTTCAAGTTATTGGAAGCCTTATCTGCAGGCACAATAACATACATGTCAAGTAAGTCTTGAAGTGTGGATTTAATATTAGAATCTAGGAAAGCTTTTTTGTTTTCATTTGCGATTTCAAGCTGCAAATTCTTTTAAGAATTATGGACCAAATGGACTTAACCTACTCAGAAAGTGAATTCAATTCACGGACGGAGTTTCGCGATGTTTAGGACCTTTCATGATAAAAACTCGTAGCTCATTTTGGATAATGCTTAAATCACCAGTTACTATGTGCCCAGTTGGACCATAGCTGTAAATAGGAGAAAAACAATGACAAGCTGACGGAGAACTAGTTCTAAGGTCATCTACATTCAGTTGTTGCAGCGTTTGTTTGTAGTTGAAAGCAATAGAAATGACATTCAGGATACTTATCATACCATGCTAGATTTTATTTGTAAACAAAGATACTTAAAAACATATTCATGTTCAGTATATCTTAATACTGATTTACAGAAATAATTTTGAACTTCATTCTTTTACAAAGATGGTATTGAGAAGGACCATTCCTTATCGTATAAATTCGCCAACAATTTCAACACAGGAATAGAAATGAAAAGCATCTGGAGTTTCTATGAGACTTTTCTGCTACCGAGAATGATTTTGAATTATGATATTCCAAAATGCGCCGGCGAAATGTATCAAATTGACTACAACCGCATGCTTCTCAAAGAGTTTCCAATGTCTCTATTTTGATATCATTTGTTAAAAGAAAGAATCACGTTTCAGAAAGAGGGTCATATTAATTTTTCACAATTCATCACAATTGTAGACGGTGAAATACTACAGAGCGTTTATTTCCCAAGTCATAGCTATTTTAGTACTTATTCATGCTTTGACCCGCAAACACCGTTTAATGTTTCACGCAATGAACAAACCAGAATTATTTAAAACAGGAGGTTGTCAGAATAAACATCAATTTAGACAGAGTGTCTCATCATTTTCTCATTATGATTGGAATTTAATATTTAGATATTCATATCCGATACTATTCGGTTAAAATAGCTAAAAATATCAAAACATAATCCAAACTGAATCCATTAGTTGTCATTAACGTTGCGAAACCTGAAAGGATATAAAGGATGCCCATACACAAGGATGGTGTCATTATTGTCCACATGTTGCTTGGGCGTGTGGTGTCATTAATGTACAAAACACACTATAGTAGGATGAGATTAATGTCCACACTCCAGATGTTTATAGGATGCCATTAATGTCCCAAAGTGGGAGGAGAGAAAATTATATCGACTTCTGACTCGTTGTCAAATCCATTTATCATATTTTGTAATTGTGATAAATAAATATTAAGAGAAAGATAGAGTTAAAAGTGATAAATCAAGTCATCGTAGTCCATCATCAGGATATCGATGGATGTCGTTTATGTCCAAAAACTGCGGAAGTCAATAATGTCCACTCACGGCCATCAGAATATCGTGATATTACATAAATGTTCACACGCAATATATTGGAACGTTGTATAATGCATTCAGTTGTCGCCACATGACCAGTTTAGAGTATAATTGGTGTTGTGACACTGGGTAATTGTTAAATGACATTAATGTTTACATAACAGAGGATTTGTTAGATATTATTCATTTTTACACACAATACAACGTAAAATTGTGTGCTGTAACTTATTTTAATATATCAAGTGATTGTAGAATACCATTACTTTTTACATCCCAGATAATTCTAGAATTTTATTTTGTTTACACACAGTAGTCCGAAGTTACAGAATGTTATAGGCGTCCACAAAAAGTACACCGGAAGAAAGTACGATATCATTTAAAATTTACCCATAATGCACTGGAAGATTGCCGGATACGGTACGATGCCATCTAGGTATACACAGAGTACACACCAGACGATCGAAGGATGTGATTAATGTTCATACAACGAAAGATTGAAGAGTGACCACAGACAGGAAATTGTAGGGTGCCGAAATGTCAGTTAGAGGCGATACTTGGATACCAAAAATGTCAACACACTGGTCAGATGTTGTATGTTGTTGGTATATACAGAGCACTAGCAAAAAATAAAAAAAAATATTAAGAGAGTGAATGAATGGAATTAAATATCTATATACACGTCTGCGTACATTTCAGATACTAATATTTTAAGTCTATAATGAGTAAACTAAATTTACTAGCGGTCTTAGTAATATTGAGTGTACTTTAGATACTGATACATTCAAAGTTTTATGATTTAACTTAATTAAGAGAGACGTATATTCTACAATATATGACCAGTTTGCATTTTATGTCTCGATTTACATGATAGTGGGTAGTGAATAAATACACATTGATTTGTATTTTGAAATCATTAACAAATAGACTTGAACAAAACTGTAAAAACAAACAAGATAAAATTAATATATTTTGAATTGTCTATAGTACGAGACGGGTGGTCGGCATTGGTGCCCATCCTTTAATTTATTGGGATGGACATCATGTTTATCATATAAAAAAAACAATGCTATTATACAGATTAAATTCGCCATGATTGATTAAACGATTTCCCAGACAAAGTCTGTGAACATGACAGTAATAGTTGTTTTAATATACCGAATAACTATAGAATAGTGATCAGTTACCATTAGTTTTAAAATTCATATACAGTTGCTGTGTGTATTACTTTATAGTCAATAACGAGAGCAGGGAGTGAAACAAACCATTTCTTTTTTATAAACTATATTACTGCTATCACGTCCAGACATCGGTGTTTAAAAGACATTTAAAAACAAATGCCGTCGTTGTTTAGTGTTTTCATGATTGGTAGTAACCATTTAGGATTCCAATGCCCGGACGGACAATCTTAATGCTACAGGGATCACATCGGTATCACTGTCCCTTAAAAAATCTAATACAGTAACTCAACAATAACCTTCTAGAAAACGCGATTCTCCATTACATCAGCTGCCAGTTGCAATTTCTACCAAGCGGTGTAAATTCTCTCAGGGATTGGAATGCGTATTGAATTTGAGTGAGGTCATTTGAACACGGAACTCAATTGTCGTCGTGTTGAGACTTTTTTATAAACAGCGTTAATCAGAACATATCCCGTGGTCTCTGGTGTTTCCCGCGGACCTCGGAGATGACCTAGGATAAGATCGTTCCAGTACTGTATCCCACAATCAGTTTATCAAAGTTTCCAAAGTGTATGCATGTCCACGGTAGGGTATTATCATTTCACCCAGTAAGCAAACCAGTTATTGAATTAGTCTAAAAGGTTTGTAATTGATTATACCCATTTACTCAAATAGTGTCCTGGATGCTCACCGTCAAGACAAAAACCAGCATTCCTATAACACCGCGACCTTGGCCGCGTGGGTGATACCAACAAACAGACGAATATTAACTTAAAAACATTTTTCCTCACTGTCACAGAAGTAATCTTCCCTAAAACTTTAGTCCTTGACTTGTTTTTTTTTTCAATTAGAAAAATATAAAAGAAACATGTAGAATTTATTTCTTATGAGATGTTGACAAGCTAACAATACTTGTAATCGAAGCCGTGAAATTGTTTCCAACTAGATCTTTATAAATACCGTAGTTGAGCTGGCCAGTGTTAATTGGTCCGAATGACAGATTGGAAGAAACAGTGGTCAAGGGGAGGGGTCAAACCTTGACACTGTTATCAACACCTACAGCACCAATGATACCACTGTGCCCTCCTCGTGGTATTCTGAATCGCGGGAATCGTTTTCTTCTCAGAATATTAATCAATAATAAGATCAAGACATGTGGTGCAAACAATCGCTCTCTGCCGTAATGTATTTACATTAGATGATTATATAAGTAATGGATTGTCCCATTATAATACAACATGCAAAGCAAATTTTATGGAAAGTCGTAAGCTTACTTGCAGGGAAAAATTTATCAAAACACATGGTTCGTACGAAAGTGATCATTACCTGTTTAGGTATTCTACAGTATATTATGTTTACTCCAATCATTCTTCAGTTTATATGTAATGCTTCAGCGACTTATACCTTATCCCTCATCAGGAAAAATGAGGGAGAAGGTAACGACATTCATGTGCGGTAGTTTAATCTTGATTCAAAGTCTATGAAGCGAGGGCAAAACATGAACTAAAGAAACATCATGTAAAACATGTGTTCTCGAGGGATTGGTGTTACCTGTTTAATTGATGACATTTAGCATGTAAATCGTGGTTACTATACACGTTATCAATGTTTGTAATAGTGTACCGTGATTACAACAATGGGATCATTAGGCAAAATAACAAACACATTAAACCTCATATACACATTAATGAATAAAACGGGTTAAACAACTCCAACGACTTGTTTATTCGCTATTCTATAGGCAAACTATTTTTTTCGGTAAAGGTTAATTGTATTCAACATATATTTATAAACAAATGACATTAATAAAACGTTCAATTCCTGATGATATTGCCAAACATCAGATATGATATAAACAATTTTCCTGATAATCAGTAAACATTTTACAATATTGGTTTGCCTTGAAGAACCATACACATTACAGTCTACATTCATGCTCTGTAAAATCACGAATTTCCAAATCAAACTTTGACAGTCACTGTATAGTGCATCAGAGCAACGATTGGGAAATATTCAATTATCATGTCCTATCAACATCGATATAAATAGCAATTCCACGAATATACGTGACGAAGGATTGTTTGTAGATATATATTTCCTCTCGAAATGTACAAACAAACCGACCCCTCATCCCGTCCAATCCCATGTGTTTCAGACGTAGGCTATCACCGCTGGCACTACCTTATGATTTGGGTTTGTTTCTGTATCTGACATGATATAACAAGCACGTTGTTTCTTTGAAAAAGAGGCTATATATACCACACTACAGTTTCAAACAAAACCTATCAACGTTTGTCACGACCCAGCAGGAGGAGAGAGAAATTCGATAAACTACTTTATCTTTCAGATTCCCTAAAGACATATACGACAGGAGAAGGAAGCTGTCATTTGTACTGCCAATTTCGCTGCCAGAGGATCACCGTTGGCACGATAGGGTCAGTAGTGCTTTATCTAATCCAGTATGCACTGCCTCAACACCGGGATATGTCCATGCGCAATCAATTTTATGCCACTAGTATTGTGTGTATACTGTTGTCTTCCACATTGAAGTTTTCACTTTTCATCACATTTTACAAGGTTCCCCGAGGATTTTCATCACAGCAGTAGAGCTGGGGCGTCTGGATTTCTCTAATAAACTTTAAACGATGGGCTTGCTTTCAGGATTTTCCCCATCCTTTTTACTGGGTTTATATGTTTGGTGAAAGGTTGTTTTGATTAGTTTTGTTAAGATTTATGTTGTCAAAATAAAGTGTAGATATAAGTACAATAATATATGTATGATATTGATGAGCAAGTTATTTATCTACTGAAATAAACGCTGGGAATACACAAGCTAATTTCCATCAGATGCTTATCAGCCTTTCCCTTGTCAAGTGTTCATGCTTTTCAAGGTTTTGAATAAATACCAATGTGAAATAAATTATCTTATATAGAAAATATATTGAAAATTCATAGTGATAAACAAAAAGACCATACCTTCTTTAGATGACAGAAACGTGTCTTTTGTAGGGAGTTTGCGTGTTTCGTAGTGTAGTTTTGTGTTTCGAAGGAGACTTCTTTCGTGGTTTATTCTATAAACGGAATACTTGAAGGTATTTTCTGTCGTTTCCAATTCGTCGTCACCGAATAACCCACCTGAAGATAAAAGATTACAAGATAAAACAAAATCTTTTATAAAATCATAACACGATAAGCTGAATTTACGTGAAATAAGCAATTAGTATAATATCGAAGGAGTGTCATCTTATCATCCGAAGGTAGAATACTTGCTTGTATGACATTATCGCAACGAGGATTTTTGATGAGAAATAGATCAAAGTTATACTGATAAGCGCATTGTTTCGAATGTCCTGATGTCTTTTGACAATATGCAAGTGGAAACAGAAAGTATAAAACAAGCATTGACAGTTTACTCACAGTTCAATTACACCTTGTAATAAAAAATGCCAGTTTAATGTTTCTAATAGATCAAAATGTTACATATACAGTATATATATATATATATAATTAGTAAAACATCCCACCATATATATATAAGTGTTGTGGTATTATGACGTCGTCTTTATATTCCATTTGCAAGGCTTTTATCAACTTAATGTTGTTTTTTTCCTGATGACGCGGATGTAAAACGACATACTCAACCTCCATACCATCATATCGCTAGTCTTCCACTGCAATGAAACTCAGGAGGTTGGGCAACATGCTCCCGAAATAAAATGTGCAAAACGGAAATTTTGTTTTTATGTAAATTTCCAAGATTTCTTAAAATACGAGACGCCTTGATAAGGATTAACGGTAATTAAGTTTAGTGTGCCTGTGTTTTGATGGAAGATGATTACCAGTTGTACATGCTCATAAACACACCCCAGAGACCCATCACCCACTTTCAAAACGATGGTCTTAATTATCACTTTCCAAACTATCTCTTTGTTCTCTTTTAATTATGACAAATATTCTCCGTCAACAATTAAGCAACTGTTTACACTTACTAAGTGTAGAATAGTTCACTGTTTAAGTGTATTAATTCCTAACTTTGAAGAAGTGTTTCTGAAAACAAGGTTGCATTTTTAGGGATGTTATTGAAGATGGTAATGGACCAAAATGTTTAGGTGGTGACTTCCGGTAACGAAAAATATCAATATGGAGTTTAGTTAATAGCTTAATATTGGAGTGTGTGGTCCAACTGTTTTTAAAGACTTTTTAATGATAAAGATGTGTCTAGGTTTCATACATTGTTGTTTTCCTTTGGTTATGTTTCGCCCTAGTTTTATTGAATTTTCAGTTTGGGTCAGTTTTTTTTTTTTTTTTTTGTACTAAGGATATATCACTCATACACAGTATTTTAGAAATAAGGACTAAATATACCCTATACATCAAATAACAAATTGGATTTGATTTATAACAAAACTAGGGAAATGATTATATTTCATCACGCGTGACCAATAGCTATGATCGGCTTATACATGAATGTATATGAAAACATAGCGTCGAATATAATATGACATTGATGAGGTTTACCATAGTATATTACCGTATATCCTTAAATAACTGACTTTAACATCTATAAATCCTTTGAAATAAAAGCACCATGTTTATAGTGTGATCTATATAATTACCTTCTATCACGTCCAGAAAATAAAACGATATGTTGCTCCTAACAAAACGCTTTTGTGATTAAGTTAGCACAATTTTAGCCAAACGTAACGATCGGAGGCGACGAGAATAGTGTTATTCAATACAGCAAGCAATGGCCAGCACTATATGGACCCGTCGAACGCGATGGTTTGTCGTTTCAGATCAGATATATTTGCTCTTGAAATATGCGTTTCTGTCTCAGTGAAATAACTTTTTCCCACTAATTTTACAACAATATATCTTTATGGATCGGCTTCACGGAGAAAGATTTCTGATAATTGTCTGGAAATAAGAGTATATATTTATTGGACATTATCGATTGAAAGGTAAATCAGATAATATTTATTCCTACATCTTGAAAGTAAATAATCTGTGAGCCATCTCCTTGTCACCGCGTGTAGAAACCACAAAGGATCAATTCATTTATCAACGTATCGGGAAGAACCGGCGTCAAGGAATCGAGCGAGAGCCACTTCAATCCCGGACAGCCTCATCATTTCTGAATATTTATCTTTGTAAATGCATTAGGAACATGCAATGTGGCAGCAAATGACCATTTAGACTCATGGGAGTTTGGGAGCCATAATGATAGAATCTTAATAAATGTGAAGCACAGGTCAGCAACGGAAACAGATCACTTTCAAATCAGTTGAAATCTATGTTTATGAGACTTCTTTTTAATTACATTGATGGTTTAAAATGACCTTAATACAATTCTATAGTTAAAAAGTTATTTGTTTTACATCGAAAGAATTGATGTTTCGTAAAATGAACTAATGTCATTTTATCAATTTGAACCTTTATTCTAGAAATTGATACTGATAGTAATGGGAATAAATCAATGTCTCGCAGTCTTAATCAACAAACATGTGCAGTATAATGTACATCCTTAAAGTACACAATGATGAATATGCAAAATACAACAGATACTTGCCCAGAAAAGAAGTAGTATTTTGTATTTAATTGATTCCATCCTTTATCATATTGAGATACACGAAAATGCTGAGCGTGCTTCCTTGTCTAAAAATGATAAATAAAATACAGAGCGCATGATTCGCTCAAAGTGAATTTTAGGATGAATTATTCAGTGTCTCCTACCTGGTTTGGTGTTTTTAATATATTTACCATATTTACAAATAAGCAATGTGTGAAATTGATTGAAATCAATCGATTTTTTTCTACACTGCTGATATATGGGAGAACGTGGTTATATGAGTAGTTTTATGCCTTTTGTGGAGCCTAAAAAATTAAGATCTGTGATCAGGTGATTTATCTTACAACGCCGTCATCCGCATGTGTTCCCCGTATTTTGATACTTGTCTTTCTAAACGCTGCTTTGAGGAAAAACCAGTTGATATATTCGTTTTAGGAAACAGAAATGCTTTAGATTACAGAAACGAATTGGAATTATACTGGCATTTAAATCTTGCACCATTGCTGTCATTTGTACTGTTTGCCGGGACGTTACCTTTGTAACCTCGGGTTTGTAAAATAAATCATCGATATCTTTATACAATATTGGCATTGACTACAAGTGTTTGACGTTGTTTCTTCCTTCACAAAAGAAGGACAACAACAGACAGTATAGATTTGTTTCAGAGCCTCTCTATATGTATCCCTAATTCTTGCACAGAATTGCACAGTTATTTAGAAATACTTTTTGATGAAAATGTATTTAAATAGTAAGCTGATTTTGTGTTTTGACACTAGACAATTTGAAACATAGCCACATTAAAATCAATTACTAAACACAATTATATACATACACAACAAATGTTTGCCCCTCTGTATCACTCAACTGTTTTGAAACGACTTGCAGTTACGTTGTGGTGATATCATATCTGTTTTTACCTGTTAAGGGTGCCGGCTTGGATTAGGAAGAATTATATATAAGAATAATGTTAGTACTGTATACTGTTTCGAAACAAAGAAAAATGCTAATTGCTAATTATCTATTGCTATAAATACCAAACCTACGTCTGAATTCAAACTGATTCTGAATTATTTTCTCCACATATCAGTTCTTTACATCATAATTTTATTCGATAAAGTCCTCATAAAATCGTTTAAACTCTTCGTATGTAAAACATGAAATAATGATTAAATTTTGAATCTTAATGAACCAATATACCCTGTTTCACGCGAATTCAATAAGCTCACGGAAGTCGATGTTGGCAGAAGACGAGCACCTAATTACATCCACGCTCTGTGTTACATAGCGGTTAATGATATATACGATAAAACCATAAACTATACCATACAGAGTAATTACCTCCAAAGACGCTATCGACTCACTGTAATTACTTTTGAATTATACGTACACAGTCTAAAATTGCGTTATCAAAATAATCTTACCGTTAATTTACATATTCATTGTGATAACATCTTTGTCTATGATACTGTTACTAAAAAATAGGTCAAATATACGAAGTTAATCATAGGTCAGACATCATGGTATTAAGTTCAATGATTCGTTTTATAACTCAGAAGTTTTAACTGACAGATATTTTGTAAGCATATTATTGCTGTTATTGGTTATTGGTGAAAACTTAAGAAACACACCTACAGCCACACTGCTCTTACACAGACATTTCATGCCTTTCCATGCTATTGTTAAAAGTGTTTAGCCCAGGGTACTGATAGTTAACTATTTCGATTGATTTTTATACTACAATAAGACGGTTGTTGAGTGCAATATAGCACATGATCGGCTACTAGCACCAAAGGGCAAATATTTGTAACCATACCGTGAGAAGACATTAAATATCTGTTTCATGAAATCATTTAAAAATAGCCTTGACAATCTAAGACAACGTTTTCCCGACATATAGATCGGAAATCGTAATTGAACACTAACTGATTGACTGATTACCTTGTTATCTGATTTGCCAATATATCTTGTATCTTAAACGAGTAACCGAAACTTATATCCAGTCAATCTCAAAGACAGCCAGAGGATATTTGAATGCTTGAAATCAATTTTCTGGGGAATACCATTTGACATCCTATATAACATCATTATTACAGGTCTTGCATTACAGGTGCTTCCAGTACAGTTTTATATGTAGAACAAACAGAGTGTGTTGTTTTATATAGAATAACAGTTTATATGTTATGAATATATGTGACTTTAGCAGACAGGGACATCACGGTACTCTACAGAGGACATTTAAAAACGTTCCGTTGAATATCACTAGTTTAGCAGATTATCTATATTTTGTCATCACACATAGGATGTCTAAAGGATAAATAAACAAATTATAATAATAATAATTTAAAAAATCTCTGCTAGGACATTAAACTGAAGTGCATTAAGGTTGTACAAAATAATTCACAATGGCTGGTTATCATGTGATAAATATAACATGTATTCTGGAGTAGCGTATACGATGTGAACAATTGAGTCCACTTTATGGCACGCACCAAGGATATGATCATGTTTAGGGTTGTTCTTACAGTTCATGAAACTGTTCAGATTCGTTTGAGTACGTACATCTAAG